GGAGGACACTCTGTGTGCCCTGGGTCCCGTGGATGGGTGGCCGTGGCCCAGGGGAGGACACTGTGTGTCTTGGTCCCGGGGAGGTTTCGGCACCCTGCCGGAGCTCAGGAAGCCACTGGAGTGAGGTGCGACCTAGGACCAGGAACGGGGCTGCATGTCCTCGGAAAGCAGGCGGAGGCCCCAGCCCTCTCACTGGCCCCACGTGGAGGGCACCCTGTGTCCCCTGCCTGGTCTGGGGGTGGTGGGTGTTGCACACTTCGCACAGCAGGTGGCTGCTTTCCTCACAGCCTGCCCGAGCCGCAGCGGGAGGAAGGGGTCCTGCCCGGCCTCTGGCCCCGGGGTCTCAGAGGTGGCCTTCTGAAGTGCTGCGTCGGGGCCAGGTTGGCGAGGCACCGTGCTGGCTGCGTGGCCGCGGCGCAGAGAGGAGCCTTCCCTGGGCTCTGCTGAGTGCCCGCTGTCCTGGGCCCTGGCGGGGCGGGGTTTCCCAGGGCCGGCGTGGCTCTCAGGGCGGCACTGTCTTCGCAGGCTACCTGGTGCTGGCACAGTGCCGAATGCTGCTGGCCAGTGTGGGGGCCTCGTGCCACTCGGACCAGGGGGACCGGTGAGTACACTTGGGTAGCGGTTCTGGGCCCCAGTGGTGGGAGTAGGGCTGGGTGCAGGCCTGCGGCTGCCTGCATAGGACTGTGCCCCAGGCCACACGGCCTGACACGGCCTGAGGTGAAGTCGCTCACCGCTCAGGCCACCCTGGGAGGGAGGGCCTGTGAGGAGCTGATGCTCAGGTGAGGAGACAGGCCGGCGGGGTCGTGCCAGAGGCACCAGGCCTGCAGAGCGAGCCACGGGGATGAGGCCGGCGCGGCCCAGCACGGGAGGAGCGGGGGTGGGGGTGGGAGTGGACAGGTCTCTCCCTCTCGGGGCAGGAAGTGGGGCACCCCTTCTGGTGGCTCCTGTGCTCCCCCCGCAGGAATGCCTGGGGCGGGGCTCACGGAAGCCGGAGGGGTCCTGGGTCGGCAGAGGCCTGGCTGTGGCTGCGGGAGTGAGTGGCAGGAGAGCCCCAGATTTGCATTCCCTTGGTGGAAGTGACCATCCTGGGGTCGGGGTGCGGGCGCCCCCTCCTGCACGTCACTTGGGGCGCTGTCCCAACAGGGTGGCCTGTGAGTCCCTGCCACCCCAGCCTGTGAGCTCCAGCCCAGACCCTTCCCTTGGGGGCCTCAGCAGCCCGGGCTGTGCAGAGCCGGGCTGGGCCCGTGCAGGGAGGTGAGGCACTGGCACCCTCTGTCACCAGGACTCCACTCTCACCGGCAGCCTCAGTGGGGCAGCCTGGGCAGGAGGCAGGGGCGTTCAGGACCCTAACTGCGGGCGAGCTCCCACAGGTCCGGGAGGCTGAGGCAGGAGTGCCGAGGGAGGGCAAGGGGCTCTGGGCCCACACAGCCCTGGGCTGGGCTCAGCCAAGCATAGGGGCAATGAGCCTTCCAGCGCCGGCCGACACCCGACCTGTCTCTGTCCACCCGCAGGCCGTCCCCGGTGCTGCTCAGCTGTGGCGTCCCCTTCGACATGGCCAGGAACGCGCTCCGGCTCAGCGTGGGCCGCAGTACCACCAGGGCCGATGTGGACCTCGCCGTGCAGGACCTGAAGCAGGCGGTGGCCCGGCTGGAGGGCCAGGCCTAGCGCTACTGCACCCTCCCGGCACCCTCGGGAGCCCTGCCCCAGACGCCCCGCCGCGCCCCAGGGGCTGCCGCGTCCCTCCGGGTCTGCGCCCTTCCTCCCTCCTGTGTCACCGTCTGCCTGACCACCCACCGCAGGCCCCAGTACCACATAGGACGTCCTCACCACCAATTCGAGAGCCACGTCCCCTCCCCACGCGGATGGTGGGCCTGTCCAAGTGCCCCCTTCCGGAAGGTGGTGTTTTGCCCCAAAGATAAAACCCATGGATTGAGAACCCGTCCTCAGCCTCGATCACTAGAATAGGAAAGGGCAAGGCAGTGGCCTGCTGTGGTCCCAGCTACTGTGAGGCGGAGGCAGAGCTGGCGAGTTTGAGGCCGGCCTGGGGAACTTGGAGAGACCCTGCTGTAACGAGGGCTGGGTGGAGCCGAGGCGCAGAGCACCTGCCTAGCACCAGTACCCAGGACTGAAGAACATAGGAAACTTGACTTGGCCTCATCGCACACCTTCCCAGCGGGGTCCCCCGAGGCCCGCTTGAGCCCTCTCCAGACTTGGTCCCCATCAACCCACCTGTGACCTCAGCGCACACGGACCCCCAGGCGGTGGCCGCTGCCCCTCCTGCCTCCCTGGCTGGACTGTGACCGCCCTCCTGAGGGGCCTTGTCCTCCCCAGACGCCTCTGTTCACTCCTGAGGTGGGAGCTGGCCCCATCTCAGTGTTCATCTTTATTCAGAGGTTTATTTTCATGAAACGTGGCATCACATCGAAGGCTGGTCGTCATGTGGGGCGGGGTTCCAAGGTCGGCGTTGTCAGTGTGCTTTCGAGGCCTGCTGGTGCAGTGGCACCCCGCAAGCGGCCGAGTGGCCTAATAAAGTGTTTCTGCGCTGGGTGCGTGCCTGTGCTCTCTGGCGGGAAGTCTGTCCCTTCGCAGTCCATCTGGGCAGGCTGCCCCGTGCCTTTCTTCTGGGGCTGGAGGGTGGGCCGCGGCCTCGGGAGCCTCCTGGGGTAGGGCAGCCGAGGACCAGGACCCAGCCGCTGAGCTGGGGGGCGGACCTCTCCCCAGGCGATGGCACCTGCCGTGCTGCCTGGGAGAATGGAGTCCCAGGGCAGGGTCTGGAAGGCGGGGGAGCAGTGAGCCGGCGCCTGCGTCTGCATCTGGCCCCGGGTCGCTGCAGGAGTGGCTGGCTGGGGCCGTGAGTCCCCCGGGCCTGCCCCCCACCCCCACCCGTGCCGCCTCCCATCTGCCCCTGGTGCTGCTTATCGGGTAACCGGAGCCGCAGCCACGTCCACGCCTGAAACAGGAAGCCCAGCTGGGCCTGGGCACGAGCTGCCACCGCCGCCGAGAGCCGGGGGATGGAGGAGCAGCAGGCGCTGGCGGCCGCCAAGGGTGGGGATGTGGCCACCTTGGAGCGGCTGCTGGAGGCCGGCACACTGGGCCCGGGCATCACCGACAACCTGGGGGCTGGTCTGGTGCACCACGCTGCCCGCGCCGGCCACCTGGACTGCGTCCGGTTCCTGGTGCAGCAGGCCAAGCTGCCCGGCAACCAGCGGGCCCAGAACGGGGCCACCCCGGCACACGACGCTGCCGCCACCGGCCACCTGGCCACGCTGTGCTGGCTGATCCTCAACGGAGGCTGCGGGCTGCAGGTGAGCAGGGCCTGGCGGGCGGGCCGGGGACGGGCCCCGAAGGTGGGACCCTGGGCGCCCCGGGCTCTCTGCTCTTGGCCAGTGGTGGGGGTCCCTGACCAGGCCCGATTGCTGGGCGTCTTCCCAGAGTCCAGAAAAGGATCCAGAAAGAGACAGCAGGGTATGGCTCAGGATCTGGGGGCACTCGGGGCAGTGAGAAGGCGGAGGCTCAGGGACGACCTGCCCAGGCATGCCCCAAGCTGTGCCTGCTCTGGCCCTGCGTACCCATGCACTGGCTCACCTGGAGGGACAGAGCGGGCTGGACACGCCCAGTGGTCAGGGCGGTGGGATCAGGAGGCCCACAGGCACATGGCTCTGACCTCGGGACCTGTGTCTGGAGAGGGAGGGCAGAAAAGGCTCAGAGGCGGGTCCCGGGTGGGTGTCGTTACCTCTGGCCGCGCGGAGCCTTTCTAACCGTGCTCTGTCAGCCTGGCAGTGGCCGGGACGGGGCAGGATCCCAGGTGCAGCCCCAGCTCCGGCCTGTGTGCGTCCCGGCCTCCACTTCCTGCCCAGCAGCAAGGCTCCTGCGGGGTGAGGATCCCAGGCAGGCATCGCTGGCTCTGGCCGTGTGGTGCTGCCCATAGCGTGGGCCGGGCTCTGTGCCACTCATGGCCTGACTGGGCCTCGGTAGGACCGGGACACCTCGGGCGTATCCCCGCTGCACCTGGCCGCCCGCTTCGGACACCCAGCGCTGGTGGAGTGGCTGCTGCGGGAGGGCCACGCGGCCACACTGGAGACGCTGGAGGGCGCCCTGCCGCTGCACCACGCGGCGGTCAGTGGGGACCTCACCTGCCTGAAGCTCCTGGCTGCCGCCCACGGCAGGTGAGAGGCTAAGGCCCCCGGTAGAGAGGGGCTGGCCACACGTGGCAGTGTGGACGGTGCGGGGGGCAGTGTGGGCACCAGGACACGGGCCAGCAGAAGGCAGTGGGGAAGGGTGGGCACCGGCCAGCTGCAGGAGCACAGGTTGTTTCGCTGTGGGCTTAGGGGGCCCTGGTTGGGTCTGGATCCGCCCCTGCAGGGCCCTGACCCCTGTGCTAGGCCTCCTAGCCTGTGCCAGTGTTGGTGGACGGTAAGAAGCGAGGCCCTGCGGGCTGGGGTTATAGCTCAGCGGTACAGCGCCGGCCTGGCAAGTGCTAGGTCCTGAGTTCGATTCCTGCTACGGGAAAAAAAGGGGAGGGCCTCTGGCCAAGGAAACACTGCACTCTGGCCCTTGCCCTGCGTTAAGATTGCTGTTGTTGGGGCTGGGGATTTAGCTCAGTGGCAAAAGCGCCTGCCTGGCAAGCACAAGGTCGTGAGTTCGGTTCTCGGTACCGGAGAAAAACCAAAAAAAAAAAAAAAACAAAAAACATTGCTGTTGTCATAGCAGCGGACCCTGGAACAAGGGGTTCACGGTCCCCTGCCTTCCCCCTGGAGCTGCCTGCCTCTGGCCTCACTTGTGCTGGGACGAGGATGTCCTGTCTGGGTACCCTGGCCACCCCACCTGGCCCCAGGACAAGCCTGACAGCCCCGTGGGGGCATGGTGTCCCTGTTACCCTGTCAGTGCCCCCCCCACCTCCTGGCAGAGGTTTCTGGATGTAGCCACAGCGTTCAGGCCTGGCCACCTTAAAGCCGTTCCTGCGGTTACAAGCGGGAGACGTCATGCCCTCACACGTGCACACACACATGCACACACCTGTGCACACACCGCCGGAGGGTCCCATGCCCCGTATGCCTGCCTGGCCGTGGCCGCAGGAGCAGGGCACGCGCTGCAGGGCTCCACAGCCCGGCTGTCCCAGTGCGCTCCTGCGCCCAGCAAGCTGGGCCCCGCAGAGGACAGTGAGGTGCGAGGGCTGGGCCCCTGAGGGAACTCGGCTCTGGGGCAGGGGGCTGCTTGTGCTGGGGGCAGGCCGGGTCCCGTGTCCACCTGAGGAGGAGCAGAGAGGACTTGGGGGCCCACCCCAGCCCCGGCAAGCAAATCATTCTGCCCTGGGCCTCAGTTTCCCCTTCTGCCAGCTGGAGCCTGGGACTCAAGTCCCCACAGCCAAGCGGCCTAGGTGGTCCCTGGGGTGACTCCGGGCACTCGTGGTCACGGCCCCGCATGGCTGTGGCCGGTGGAACGCTCAGGGGAGCACGTCACTCTCCCCAGCGTCCCCCCGAAAGGCCGCAGAGCCCCCAGCCCTGTGAGCGCGTCTGAGAGCAGACAGCCTGCAGCCGTGCAGTGTGAGCGCGGGGCTGCGCAGGCAGTGCCCTGGGGGCGGCGGTGGTCACTGTGTGTCCCCACGGGACCAGCGCAGAGCCCGGAACCGCTCCCAGACCACCAGCCTGCGCGCGTCTGCAACGCCTGACACCCGTGCCCTGGCCGGCCGGTGGGGCGGGCACAGGGCCCGGTCACCGGTGCCTGAGCCGCTGCGTAGCGGCGGGCAGGGCTCCGGGAGCTTGGGCTGTAAGGGGCTGGGGCCAGGGCCGCAGCACCAAAGCATGGGCCACCCAGGACGGGGGTCCGGCCTCCCCGCAGCTGCTCACCGGGCACCAGGAGCTCACCGGGGAAGTGCAGGGTGTCCTGCGATACTGTGCTGGCCTGTCCTTACTGGGCACAAATCGGTGCCAGCCGTGGTGCCCGCCATGGCCCCGCCGGTGGGAGACCTAGCTGCATGGGGAAGTGGACGCAAACAGGTCCAGGCGCCCCCGGCGCCCCTGACCACAGCTCCTTCCTGGCCCTCCGTGCAGTGGTGTGAACCGGCAGACCCACAGCGGCGCCTCCCCGCTCTACCTGGCCTGCCAGGAGGGCCACCTGCACCTGGCCCAGTTCCTGGTGAAGGACTGCGGCGCCGACGTGCACCTGCGCGCCCTGGACGGCATGAGCGCCCTGCACGCAGCCGCCGTGCGCGGCCACTACTCGCTGGTCGTCTGGCTGGTAAGGGGCAGAGCCACGAGGAGGGCGGCCCGCCGGCTATTCCCGCTATTCCGGGGCGGACAGGGGGCCCGGTGTGCGCAGGGCTGTGGCTCTCCCTGTGGGGCCTGCAGGACCATGGGCGGTCGGCTCTGGGCAGTGCAGGCGCGGGGCTCTCCCGTCACGGGGCAGGTGGGGCTCAGACTGCTCCCTGCCCGTCTGAAGCCAGGGGAAGAGGAAGAGGTGCCAGTGAGGAGCAGGGCAGCGGGGGCTGGCAGAGTGCCTGGGCCTCCCTCGGAAAGGGCAGATCACCCGGCCGGGGCCTGGGAGTGGGAAAGACAGAGACCCTGGGGTGAGGGGACCGCGGCTCTTCCCCAAAGCCCTGGGGAGCCATGGAGGACACTGGGCCGGATCTGCCTGGTATTCCAGAGATCCCTCTGACTGGGGAGGCTTAGGCAGGAGGATCATGAGTTCGAGGCCAGTCTGAAGTATATAGCGATGCTCCATCTGAAAAAACAAACCAAACAATGAGTGGCCCACAAAAGTTTACTCTGGCTGCCAGGAAGCGGGGGAGCTGCCCCTGCTCAGCTCTTGAACCCTCCTCTCTTCTGCCTCTGCTCCTCACAGGGCAGCTCTTTCCCCAGCCCTGCCCCAGGGCCTTTGCACACACCTAGCCTTGGCCTAGATGCGGCCCAAGTCCTCCCCCTCCCAGGCACAGATACCTGCCTGACAGTGTCCCCCCCGCATCTGTGCCTGGTGCTGGTCCCCTCCCAGCCCCAGCAGTGCCCAGCGGGCTATTCTGGTAGGCTGGGGCTATGCCTACCGGGCTGTGCCCCTGTGACTGGCACAGTCAGGCACTGGGCAAAGGCTGGAGGGACAAGGCCCTGGCCCTTGTGACACCCAGCCTGCCCCCACCCAGGTCACCTTCACAGACATCGGCTTGATGGCACGGGACAACGAGGGAGCCACAGCCCTGCACTTCGCGGCCCGTGGCGGCCACACACCCATCCTGGACCGGCTGCTGCTGATGGGGGCCCCGGTGACCAGGGACTCCTGGGGCGGGACCCCACTGCACGACGCGGCTGAGAGCGGACACGTGGAGGTGCGCGGTGTGCGGGGCTGGGGACCCCACGGGACCTGGAGGGGAGGTGCTCACTTCCTGATGCAGGTGGGTAAACTGAGGCACGGTGGGGTCTGGGGCTCCCAGGAGGGCAGAGTGAGCCACAGGATCAAGTAAGCCGGGGTCTCCGGGAAATGCCCCAGGAGTGGCGAGGTAGAGCTGGGGTCTGGAGGTCACTCCCCGCCAGGACGCTGCCCAGCCTCTGAGGAGGGGAAGCCTGGCCCTGCCCCATGACTCCACTCACCCTGCCCGGCCACTGGGATGGCAGCTGGGCTTGCCCTGCCCACCAGAGCAGGGGCAGGGACCCAGCCAGGTCGCTTCCAGACCCCAGAGGCCGCAGGCGGGTGAGGCACTCAGCCAGGAGTCCTCCAGCTCCTCCGCAGGAGCCAGCCTCGGCCTCCAAGGGGAGAGCTGCCTCCTGTTCTGTGTTTGAGACTGGCTCTCGCTATGTAGGTCAAACTCACGGCAACCCCCTGCCTCAGCCTCCTGAGCTCTGGGACGACAGTTCCCAACACCACCACACCCAGCTTGCTTGTTTTCTAAGTCCTTCATTATTATGGCATTCGGAGAACCCCCGAGTGTGGTCCCCCTCAGCTCCCACTGTTGCCACCTCAGCTCCTCCAGCAGACACCCCTCCTTTAGACCACAGCCTCCCAGCACTGGCACCCTGGGGCTGGATGCATCGGGAGTCCTTAGTACGTGGCCCCTGCTCCACCCGACCTGGGGGTATCAAAGACCGGTCCATTCAGCCGCCTGCCCTGGCAGCGGCCCCACACACGCTGTGCCCAGCCACGGGATGAGGCTTGCGCTTGCTTTAGCGCCGTGGCGAAGGGTCCGATTTACGGAGAAACTGGGCACACAGCACCAGTCCCCACAGCGCCCAGCACAGCATGTAAGGCCGCACCGCGCAGCCTGCCCCGGTCCCTGGGATCCGCCGCCGCGTCCTTCGCCACCCGGCTCCGTGCAGGACGCAGGGCCGAGGGTCAGGTCTCCTCAGGCTCCTGTGGATGTGACAGGGTCCCTGCTGCGCCACTGAAGAAACAAAACGTGAAAGTGATGGGCGGGGCCTCTCAGTGTGCTGGGCTTTGCGGTGTCTGGATGGGGGAGCCTCACCACTCCCAGTTGTTCTGCTGTAATCAAGAAGCTCTTGGGCTGGGGATTTAGCTCTGCGGCACAGCGCCTGCCTGGCAAGTGCAAGGTCGTGAGTTCAATTCCTGGTACCGGAAGAAAAAAAAACCAAACTGTAATCAAGAAGCTCTTGCTGGTGGCCACGCTGACCGCTCCTTGGTGTGTCGTTTTAGGGGCTTCTACACCTGGCCAAGCTGAGACCCCGCCCCCTTGAAGCCTGGCTCCCTGTCCCTGCTCCCCCAGCCCCTGGACCTCCCCATTCCTCTGTCCCCCTAAATTTGATGACTCTAGGTTCCTCTTGTAAGTGGAACCACATAGTGTTTGTCCCTTTGTGTCTGACTCATTTCCCTGAGCATAATGTCCTTTCTTTTCGAGGCTGTGTAGTATTCTACTGCATGGACTACTTACATGCTCACCTGCTCGTGGCTGTCGGGAGCCTTTCCCTCCGGGCTCTTGCGAACACTGCTACCTTAGACACGGGCTCCGGGGTCTCTCGGACCCTGCCCTCCTTCCTTTGGGGATGCATCAGAAGAATTTCTGGGCCTATCCTGATTGCTCTGCAGTGTGAAAATCAACTTCCACTCTCAGGATAAATTCAGCGTGCTCTAGATAATCCTTAACCCAGCTGAGTTCAGTCTGCTGATGTTTGCCTGGGGTTTGGGCCCCTGTGATCAGGGGTAACCCTGGCCTGTTGCGTCCCTCGCTTGTTCCGTCCTCGTTGGGCTTTGGTGTCGAGGTTCTGCAGAGAATTAGGGAGAGCCTCATTTTTTTCCTAGTCTTTGGACATTTTTCGCATGTTAGACTCATTTTTTTCTTTAAACATTTGGTAGATTCCACCCCTACAGACTTGACTTTTCCTTTTGCTTTTTGTTGAGACAGGGTCTCGCTATGCGGTTCAGGCTGGCCTTGAGCTCACTTTGTACCCCAGGCTGGCCTCAAACTTGCAGGGATCCTCCTGCCTCAGCCTCCCAAGTGCAGGGATGACAGGCAGGCGCATCACACCTGGCGTTTTCTTTGAGAGAAGTTTTTAATTACAAGTTCAGTGTTTAACGGTAAAGCCGCTAGGGCTTTCTCACGTGTGGGGTCAGTAAGTCGTATTTTCCTGGCTTTTGTTGAAGTTCCCTGGGGCCCAGTTCCGCCTGAGTCACCCAGGTCTGCGCCCCACCTATTTCCCGTGTTGCCTGTCCTCCGTCACCTGCCGGGCACCAGCCGCCAGCCGCTCTCGTTCCTGGCATTGGCCTCTTCTGCCTTGCTGGTCTCGTCCCCGCTGGGGGTGGGCAGCGTTAGTCCTTCAAGCCTTAGGCTGGAGCGGCCCAAGACCCTCTGCAAAGCCGCTGATTCTCCCCATGTGTTTTCTGCTTCGCTGACTTTGACATTCCCCCTCAGCGCCTCCCCCACCCCCCGACTCCTGTTCCAGGCGCGGCGTCGGAGGCCAGGGCCCTGCACTCCCAGCCCTGAAGTTAGCGCTGCAGGGCGGGAGTCCCCAGGTATTGGGTACCCGCACCTGGTCCCTCTCCGCTGTGCCGAGCCTCATGGCCACGAAGGGAAACCCCGGCCCATGTGTTGGGGTACCCCGCCCCTTCTACAAACCCCAGCGAGCCGTCTTCAACTTCCTGTCTGAAGGACGCAGCTCTGAGGGTTCCCTGAGTGGGACTCTGCTCTCCACGGCCTTTGTGCCTGGCTCCCCGCGTGTTTCCCGGGTCAGCGTTGCCGCGGGGTCCAAGCCTGCTCCTCTCTGTGGCCGCGCCGTGCTCCCCGCGTGCCGGGCTGTGCTCTGCTCCTCCGCCCTCTGCGGATAGACTTTGTCGCTTCCACCTTTGGCTACTGCGTTCCCGGCCGCCGTGGACACCAGGGCCGGCTGTTGTCTGAAGCTGATGCTGGAGCTGGGTGCCAACTACAGGGAGCCCCGAGGAGGTTGTTACTGAGCTCGGCATTCCCTGGTCGCCGGCGATTTGGAGCGGCTGTGTCACACGCCATGAGGTCGGTGTGGGCGGAGAGATACAGGGCGTCGCTGTCACAGCGGGGTCTTGGGTCTCCTCCACCGTCTGCTTCCTCTCTGCCTGGCTGTGGACCCGGGCACAGGCAGTGTGTCGGAGCATGCAGCCCGCAGCTTAGAGCGGGTGACGGGGGAGCAGGACACCGGGGTCCATGTCTGCCCGCCTCAGCCTTCCTCGGCGGCTCCCCATTCGGTGCTCCAGCCAGAATTTTAATTATTTAAAAATGTCTGTGTACAGGGAAGTACTATCGCACGGGGTCTGTGTCAGAGCAGGAAATGGGACGTCAGGCGGGGGCTGGGACGAGGACCTGGGACTCCTCTGTCCAGAGCGCGGTGTGGCCAGCAAGGCTGCAGATTCCTGGCCTGGAGACCTGGGCTCTCGCACTCCCCGGCCCTCCCGGCCTCCGCGGCAGAGCTGGTGCAGCCGTGAGCCGAGGAGCCTGTCCCCGTCACTCACGGGGCCTGTGCCCGGCCAGGGCTCACCGGAGAGCTCCGGGTCCCAGCGTCTGGCTCAGATGCCAGCTCCAGGCATAAACACAGGGGTCCCAGAGGCCCCAGGTGTCCCCCGGGCTTTGGCCTTTCTCAACAGCACCTGGAGCCGGTGTGGGAGGACAGAGCTGCTGGAGTTCTTGGATCTGTGCTCAGTGTCACCGGCCGTGCTGTGTCAGACATCCTGTCCGCCCCGGGCTGTTTCTTCTCTTTTTCTGGGGCTTAATGGCTGTGAGACGCAAAAGAAAGCAAGGCCTGACCCTCCCTTTCCCTCTGAGGGCCAGAAGCGGTCGTGGCCTATAGGCAGCTGTCTCTCTCTCTCTTTCTCACACACACGCGCACACACACACACACACACACACGCACGCACGCACGCACGTGCGCGCATCGCCTCCTCAAGGTGGCCGGGGCCGCAGTGTCTTCCTGCCACCACCTGTGGGCACGCTGATGGGAGCCGCGCCTCCGATGACAGGCGCCCGCTGCTCCATGTTGCTCCAACACCGGCTGCTGCTGCCTCTTTGAGGAACACCCAAGAAACAAAGGCCAGGGAGGGTCTGGCCCATGGTCCACATTCCCCGAGGTTCCTAAACCCCAAGGATGTGTGATCCCCACAGCCGGCTCCCCTGAGACCCTGAGGACCAGCCCTCAGTGCCAAGCCGCAGGACGGAATCGAGCAGCCCCTGCTCCCACAGTTGGGCTCCACGAGGTACCTGCCTGAGCCACAGCGGGCTTGAAACTGAGACCTGACCCACAGCACTCCGCCCGGCCTCCGCCCGGCCCGTCATCACGGGGAAGTCCTCAGAATGTTCTTGCCCTGCGCCGCGCCGCCTGCCGCTGCTGCTGCAGCTAAGCAGCACCCGGCACTCTGCTCGAGGGCTCCCCCGCCCCGCACCACCTATGTGCTGCAGCCCCGGGCCCCAAGAAGCCTCACTGTACAGGCCCAGCAGATCCGCTGGTGATTCTCATCTCAGGGAGTGTGGGCAGAGCAGGCCACAGTGAGAAGAGTTGGCAACACCAGGGCCTGGGAGCCATGGAGTGTTCTAGAGACCTGCAACAGAGACCGGCAGCAATCCGTGAGGATCACCAGAGACTGTTGGCATGGATGGACATTGTTTGGCAGGGAACCCAGAAATCTGCTAAAGGTGTCAAGCCTGGTGCTGAGGTGCCGACAGGGGTGTGGGCAGTTAGCTCAACTGTCAACTCGGCTGGTTTGGGAACCAACTCAGGGAGTACTAACGCACAGTCCTGGGGGCCGTGGAGGGATGGCCTTCAGGTCTGTGGTCACTGGCCCCTTCCTCTCTGCTCGCCCCACTCTGCTTCCTGGTGCCCATGTACACCATCCCTTCCGCCATGTTGCCCCTGCCTTGGAACCAGCCGCCTAGGCACTGAGCTCCCCCGTAAGCCAAGTTAGACTTCTGCTGTAAGCTGTGAGTGTCAGGTGTTGTGTCCCAGCAATGAAAAGCGGCCAGTACAGGGTGGCTAGGAACTGTGGAGAGCTGTGACACTAGGGGCCCAGGACACTGGTGCTCAGAGCCCGGGAGCTGTGCTTTGCTGATTCCTGATCTCCTTCTGAATTGAACACAAGAACCCTCGGTGGCGTGGTAACAGTTGGACCTTACTACATTGTGATAGCTGTCACTGTGATAAAATACGTGAAATGATCACAACTGTTTGTTTATTTGTTTGTCTTTTTTGAGACAATCTTGCTATGCAATTCAGGCTGGACTTGAGCTCACTTTGTAGCCCAGGCTGGTCTCAGACTGGCAATGATCCTCCTGCCTCAGCCTCCCAAGTGCTGGGATTACAGGCATGCGCCACCATGCCCGGCTGATCATAGCTGTTAAGAAGGAAAGATTTGGGGCTGGGGATTTAGCTCAGTGGCAAAGTGCCTGCCTGGCAAGTGCAAGGTCATGAGTTTGATTCCTAGTACTGGAAGAAAAACAGAAAAGAAAAAAGGAAAGATTTGCCTGGGCAAGGTGGCACACACATGTAATCCCAGCGCTCAAGAGGCTAAGGCAGGAGGATCATTTCAAATTCAAGGCCAGCCTGGGCTACAAAGTGAGTTTAAGGCCAGCCTGAACTGCTTAGTGAAACTCTGTCTCAAGAAGACAAAAAAAAAAGGAGGAAGGCTTAGTTTTGGTTCACAGGTTCCGAGGTTTCAGTCCGTGGTTGTCCCTATGCTCTGGCCTCATGGAACGTCATGGCAGCAAAGCTCAGTCTACCTTATGATAGCTGGGAGGAAGAACAGTGGGAGAGGGGGAGAGGAGGTCCCAGTGTCCCCCCCAGTGACTTCACCTTCTTACACGCTGGACCCTCCCATCGCAATTAGCTTCTCATGCGAACAACTTGGGTCACGACCGAATTTTAGATTTAACTTACGACCAAAGTCTTGAGTTATGACCCAATTGCCAGCTGCTTGGGGGGGGTGTAAACAGACTTGCAGTACCAGAAAAGTGGACATAGGCTTCAGCCTGAGCCCAGATGTGTCTGTGGACGTGATTTCAGTCAGTACCTTGTATAATTGCTGCAGTTACTTCTATCAGAATGGCCCCCAAAAGCTAGAAAAGAAGCTACGGAAGGAGAGGAAGGTAAAGAAAGCAATGACAGTCAAAAAGAAGCAGGAAATTGTGGAGAAATCCAAGCATAGCGTTCGTGCGACCGCTGTCACTAATATGTACAGCACATCGAAATCCCCCATGTCAACAATCTTACAGAGGAAAGATTTGTCTAAGGAAGCTAGTGTTCCTAAAGGTGTTACTCAAACTAGTAAGTCATGTTCCACAGTGTTAGTCGAGGTAGAAAGACTGTTATTAGTGTGGATGAATGGAAGGCAGATGGCAGGTTTTAGCCTATGTGGGCCTGTAACTTGTTTAAAAGCTAGGGCTATAAATGCAGCTCTCATAAGGATCCATCAGTGAGTGATAATGGTGAAAAATTTCATCCAGTAAGGGGTGGTTTCACCATTTTAAAGTGAGAACAGGGGTTCATAGTATAACTAGGCATGGTGAAGCAGCCAGTGCCTGATAAAAGGCCTGCTGAAAATTACATACACCGCTTTGAAATGATGACGCAGAGAAGTGGCTTTTGCTCTCATCAAGTTTTCCACTGTGACGAAACTGGCCTTTTATGGAACAAAATGCGCAGGAGAACGTACATTATCCAGGAAGAGAAGAAAACGCCAGGCCACAAGCCTATGAGGGAGAGGCGAAGCTTACTGCTGTGTGCCAATCTGAGTGGTGACCTCAGGCTGAAGCCTCTCTTGGTGAATCACTCTGAGGCCCCAAGAATGTTCAAAAAAAAAAGTCATGAAGCATAGGCTGGGGTCATGTGGAGATCTGACACAAAAGCCAGGTAATGAGTACTTTTTCTTGGATGGATCAGAGAGGCTCTCTGTTCTATTGTTGAGAACTATCTAGAGGGCAAGGTTTACCACTCAAGGCTCTGCGCGTCATGGATAGCGCTGCTGCTCACCTACGGGATTTGGAGGAAGAACTGGCTGAAGAATCCCGTGGCTCTCAGTCGAGTTCCTCCCGCCTGATACAGCTCCTCTCCTGCAGCCTGTGGACCAGCAGGTCACAGCTAACTTCAAGAAGCTGCACACCAAGGAGCTGTTCCTGAAGTGCTCCCACATGGTCTCAGACACAGATTCAACTCTTACAGAGTTCTGGGAGGAACATTACAATGTCCTTTCCTGTGTGGGGTTCACTGAGGAGTCCTGGGCCAGGGTCTCTCTAAGGACACTGAGATCTGCCTGGAAGAAAGCATGGCCTAAAATTATGCAGGAGAGGAGCTTGGGAGGCTGTGTAGAGGAGCCGGGACCTTCCGCCGACCCTGTGGTTGATGTCATTGTCACTGCAGCAGGCACTACTTGCATTGCACTGCCTGCAATAGTCATCGTCACTACCCGCCCGGGCTTGCGGGTGGACGGCGGTGATGCGGAGGAGCTGGGGGAGGGGCTCAGAGGAAACATCTACAGAGGAACTTCAGCAACTTCTGCCTGAGCAACAGAGCAGCAGCTGAGGAGCTCTTTGAAGAGGAGGGAGAGTATCAACAATCAGTGCAGCGAAGTTCTTCTTGTGAAATAAAGGAAATCCTGAAAAAATAGACAGAGCTACAAACCTTGGTAGAGAAGACCCAGCCAGACAGAGAAAAAGCCAGTCATTACGTTCGCTTGCTTAATGACCATGTCGTGCCGTACTACAGAACAGTACTAAAGCAAAGACAGAAACAGACAACCTTAGACCAGCTCTTACTGCTGAGGGGCTGAGGCCTGGTGAGCCGGAAGCCGTTCCTAGCGGGCTGCAGACTCTCCCCAGGAGAGAAGGGACCCCAGACAGCCGGGTTCCTGATGTTCCTATGGAAGGGGACTCTCCGCCCAAACAGTAACCGCCTTCCGCTTTGTCCTGCCTTCCTGCGAGCCAAGATGTCACCTTGAATGGTGCGTACAGCATGAAATTGTTGTTTCTGGTAAACTGGACACAGTTGATAACTTTTTGGTGAGTACTCTAGGAAAATCATTGTTGTATCTGGTAAATTATGCACATTATACAACCCTTTCTATTATAGAAAGGTTGGTTATGGGGTGCCTTGGGAGGTTCAGAATACATTACGGGCATTTCCATTATTTCTTATGGGAAAAATAGTCTTGACTTACAACCAACTTGAGTTACGACCAGCCCTCAAGGGTGGATTGAGCTCGTAAGTTCAGGGCCCCGTGCTAGGTCCCCCCTCCTGAAGATCCCACCCCCATGTCCCAAGAGCACCTCACTGGGGATGTACGCTGAGGCGGGGTGTGCTGGGTTCTGTTTCCATCTCCTCTGTTATGTCTGGGTTGCTTCTTCCAGTCATCTTCTCTTTATAATTATTCAGCCGCAGTTTTGTCCAGGTTTTTGTGTCCCAGACTTACCCAGTCACTTTGCAGGTCACGTTGTGCAGTCCCTGCCCGAATTTCCACGTTTGGCTTTTATTTCTGTACACGTGACAGGCACAGAGGTCTGGCCGAGCTGGTTCTTGGGCTGTGGCGGGTCGTTCTGGGTGGGTTGGGTCTCCCTGTTCCCGTGCGTGGTGCTTTATTGCCCCGTATGCCAGACATCACTGGGAAATGGTTTGTAGGTGCAACTGGAGGCCTCCTGCGACTTCCTATCCCCTGCCCGGCACATGGGGCACAGAAGCCCAAGAGCATCTCAGTGCAATCTCCTGGGCCACCCTGAGGCAGGAGCCAAGGCCTAGCCAGCCCAGCTGCCCTGTTCCCGAGGGTGGCACCCGCAGCCCACAGTGCAAGGTGCTAATCCGAGTGCCCTCTGAGAGTGTGCCCTGCCTTGGTCCTGGCATCCCTGTGCACTGCCCTGTCATGACTTCCACGCATGTCACATTTGGGAGGCCGGGCAGGCACACTCCATTCACAAATGCCGGCAGCCACGGAGCCTGTCCTTCTGTGGCAAAGTCCTCCTCTTCCTCCCCCTCCCCCTCCCCCTCCTCCCACCTCCTCAGGGGCTGCTGTGCCCAGTGCCCCCTGGAGCCAGGCCTGACCCCGCCCCTTCCTCCTGGCTGGTACCCACCTCCGAGAGCAGCTGCAGAATGAAAACCATCCTCACTGGACTCGAAGGCTTGGCCCCTGCTGTGCCGTGGAGAGCCCCCGCCAAGGCTGTGCCCTGTGCGGGTCCTGGGCCTGGTCTCCGGAGCCCCACAGCTACTGCCCCTTGGTGCCTGGTGAGCTGCCCGGTCATGATCACCCGTTCCCCACAGTGCTGCCAGACCCTGCTGTCCCATCACGTGGACCCCTCCCTGAGGGACGAAGACGGGTACACAGCGGCGGACCTGGCAGAGTACCACGGGCACCAGGACTGTGCCCGGTACCTGCGAGAGATGGCGCGGCCGGTGAGCCCCTGGGGCCCTGTCTGTTCTGGAGGCCCGGGCTGGGGCGCACAGCCGGCCTGGGGTGCGGGGCTGGCCATGGCAGTGGGAGGGGCATGGGCCGGGACAGGCACTGCAGCAAGCCTTGGGCTGCTGTGGCAGGCTTCTCCAACGGCGCCACGGCAGCTGAGGGTCCCCAGGGTGAGACTGGGCCCTTGTCCCTGCTGGGGGGACCTGGAGGGGACCCTGCTGCAGCCCAGGACCATGGGTTCCCTGCCCTGCCCTCCGGGAGGACAGGGGCCTAGCTGTTCTGTTGGGGCTGTCACCAGCACAGGATGGGGCCCGCGGCCTTTGCTGAGGGAGAGGCCCGTGAGCCAGCCAACGGCTCTGGGGGGGGGGCGTCAGCGGTTCGTCAGGGGCAGCTCTGCCCCAGGACCCTTCCCCCACACCCTGGCCGAGGGCTGTGCCCTGGGGAGGCTGTCCCTGCCTATCTTCTGCGGTGGCCGCCCTTCGGGGAGGGCCTGGGCTCCCCGCCTTCTCACAAGGCTTCAGGGAGGCGTCCAGGGACACCGGCCCCGCCACGCATCCGGGACCAACCAAGGCACAGCCCTCCTTGGCCCCGGCCAGACAGTCCTCACACGGCTTCTCGTTGTTGCTGCCCGAACGAGTGCCAGACCCACTGCAGCCTGGCGGACCCTGGGGACCGCCTGGCCTGGTTTTGTCTGGGGAACAGTTTCAGGGACTGTCGAGGAAACTGAGCCCCTGAGTGTTCTACTTACTGCCTGGAGAAGGACCCTCTTCCTGCCAGGCAGCAGAGGGCCCTGCTGCCCAAGGCCGGCCTTGCCTGGCTCGTGCATCTCGACTGCCTGCTGCACCCCTGCTGGGAAGGCCACTGCTGGTGCCCCCGCCCTGGAGCCCTGCCCCACAGGACAGCCCGGTCCCGTCACCGCCTCAGCCACACAGAAGAGCACGTGGCGTGGGTGCTCCGTCCAAGCAAAGCCTTGGCTGTGCGCCCAGCCCAGCCTATACAGACCCTCCCGGACCCCCGCCCATCTCCTGGGGCAGGGCTGGGGAGGTCTCGGGCTTCCTGGGGGCACTTCTGGTCGCAGCATCTCCCTACCCCATGTGGGGGCTGTGGTGCCCGGAGCCCACCCAGGTGCCCCTGCCTCCCCATCGCAGCCCCCGGCCCACAGCTGGGCACACCTGCCGCTCTGCAGGCCCACGCCCTCCAGGCTGAGACTGCAGCCCCGTCCTGTGTCTTCTCCCTCAGGGCCCGGCTGTGGTTGTCATCCCGGGCTCCGGCCTCACATGGCAGGCAATGTCCCCGCTCAGCAGGAGGGCGGCAGCAGCTGTGGGCCGGGCCCGGGACGCTGGGCCCCATGCAATATTGATGGAAATGCAATATGCAGAGGTGGCCTACACCATCTGTCCCCACGTCGGTCCCCAGGAGGTGATGAGATCCCTCGCGGGGACACTGCAGCCTCAATGCCCCACCCATGGGCCCAGGAGAGGCAGCTTGGGGCGGGGCTGGGTGTCTTGCTGAGCCCTCCACGGGAGGGGCCTGCCCTGTTGGCGTCTGCAGAGCCTGGGGGCCGCTGCCCACCTGAGCCTCACGCACCTGGCCCCACCCACGTCTAGCCCCCACCCGCACCTGGCGGGACCTCTGCACAATGAGGGGATGGGCGACCTGCTCCTTGGCTCCTCAGCAGTCAGGGTCAGCCCTGGCCCACCTAGCCTTGCTCCTGCCAGGCCTGCTGGCCCTCCTGGGCACCGGGCACTGCGGGCTCTCTGAGCCTCAACTTCGTGGCCTGTGAGACAGGGTGGAGGAGCCGTCTGATGGCAGAGATGCCCTGTCCTGCTCGGCCACCCCTCCTCCAGGTCCAGAGGCCACAGCATCCCCTCCGTGGCTAGAAGGGAAACTGAGGCTGGAGAGCAGGCCTGTGCCCCAGGGATGGGCAGGGTCCAGCTGCCCAGCAGTAATGGAATCTCAGCCGTGGCAGTTGGTGCCCGGCACCACGGCGGGTCATGATTTTCTCGGCCCGGGTGGCATTACAGGCTGTAACCCTGCTCACCACTGCCGCCCTCCATGCATAATGCATGGCAGGCTCAGCAGCACTCAGATCTCACCAAAAACCCAGGGCGGCCATGGCAGCCAGGGCCGGGGGTGGCTGTCAGCTGCTGAGACTCAGAGAAGTGCACGCCCAGCTGCCGGGGCCCTGAGGGCCTCAGCCCTGATGTCCGTCCCTCCTGCTGTCCTGTGGGCCCCGGTGCCTTGGGCCCTGGGCAGGGGAGGGACACGGTGACTCCTCCCACTGAGGTTTGGGCCCTGGTTTGTAGGCAGGGCGGGGATGAGGGTGACAGGTGATGTCCCTGTGCTTCTCAGAGGCAGGGACCAAACCTCAGGGAGCTGAGGGGTGCCCAGGGTCTCCCACGTCCCTGTTCCCAGTCCCTCGCTGGGGCTGGCACCAGCCTCCTTCCCTGAGACCTCCAGGGTGATTAGGAATCTCCAGGGCAGATTCAACAGAGAGGGGACGCTGATGGCTCAGGAGCAGGATCCCCAACCCCAAGCCTCAGGCGATGTGATTTGAGCCCAGTCAGCTGCTGTGTCCACTGTGGGCCCCGGAACCCCCTCTTCAGAGTGAGCAGGAAGCTCCCTGCCTCTGTGCACCTGGAGGCCGGGTGGGGACAGTCAGGGCTTGGCCTTGGTGGTGGAACCCAGCGGCCCCGTCCCTGCCTGCTTCCCACCATTGCCGCTGCCCCTGGACCAGGAGTCTCACGCCCCCAGGACAACTCGGATCACAGCTCTGCCGTGGGCCTGGGAAAGCCCTGTGTCCCCTGAGCCTCGGTCTCCCTGTCTGCGGGTGGGAGACCTATGTAGTCGACCTTGCCTCTCCTAGGGCTCAGGGACTCCAGCCCCCACCCCCTGAGGCCCCGGCCGCTGCTCTCACTGTGGAGGGTTGGGATGTGCAGTAAGGGATCCCGCACAGGCCCAGCCCAGCCTGTCTGGCCACCTGACACCCAGCCTTCAAATATTAATGTGACACCTCCTGTGGGGGCGGCAGCTTCGAGGGCCCCCGAGGCCCCCAGGCCACACTCCCCACGCTCTGCAGCCCGGTGCCTGTGAGGTCCACCCTGGCTGGGCGTGCGCAGCTCAGCTCCCTGCACAGGTTCCCGGGGTGTGAGGTGCATGGGGCTGGGAGGCTGGGCTTCCAGGCTGCGTCCTCTTCCCTGGCCTGCTGGCCGGGGGTCCTGCACGGCCTGCACACACCTGTGACCCGGTAAGGCGCTGCGCGGCGGCAGTGGCCGAACACATCCCAAGCCCAGGGGAGTGGGAGGCTGGCTTCCTGCAGCAAAGTTGGGGATTTCTAATCTGCTGTGAGCTGGCCCTGAGCTGGGGCCACCCTGGGCTGGGTGTGGGGTCACAGTGCGTGCGAGGTGTCCGCAGGGCCTGAACCCCAGTGCAGCGGGGACGGGAGCTGCCCCTCGGCCTCTTCACACCTCCTGGGAGCTGCGCAGGTGCAAGAGGCCCCTGGGCCCGTGGGGTGCCCTTGAGCTGACCGCGCTGTCCCCCAGGTGCCCATCCTGATGACGCCCCCGCCTCCGCCCTCCCCGCCCCCGCCGCTGTCGGCCGCGAAGCTCTCCCAGCAGGACGGCGAGAGAGGGGGCCCCGGGCACAGGAGCCCCACGCGTGAGTACGCGGCCAGGCCAGGCTGCCGGGCGCAGCGCGTCCCACCTCGCAGGGCAGCCCCGCGTCCCCGGCCCGCACTCCGCGTTTCTCTCGGGGTCTGTGCTGCTTTCTAAAAGCAGGACTCATGGGAGGGGTCCCCATCTGTCTGGGCCTCGCAGAGCTGGGGGACGGTCCTCCAATTGTAAGTGGTCGTCCAGAGAGGACTGTGCCCAGCACTTAGCAAAGTGAACTGGGCAAGCAGGAACATGGCAACAGCACCACAGAGGGGCGCCTGGGTCCCCAGGGCACCCCATGCAGTGTGGCCATGTGTGCCGGTCCATGTGTATCTGTGTGTGAGTGTGTGTGTGTACGAGTCTGTGTGTGTCTGTACATGTGTTTGTGTCTCTGCATGTGTCTCTGTCTGAATGTGTGCACGTGTGTATGTGTGCGTGTGTATGTACCTGGGCCCCGAGGTCCTCCCTTACAGGCAGAGGCTCTCAGGGTGTCTGCAGGGGACGCTTTGGGATCCCCAGGCTCAGGAGGGGCTTGGCCGCCCCTGTGGGTGAGGGGTGAGGTGCAGGCAGCCCTGGCGGGCTTGTTGCGGGCCAGCTGTCGTGGTAGGGGCCCCACTCCCCGCCCAGCTCCTGCAGGCACCCAGCTGTCCCGAGGCTGAGGCCCCCTGGACCCTGACCCCCACCCTCTCAGCAGCCTCTGCACTCAGCCCGGCGTGGCCCGGCCAGCCTGTCCTGAGGGCACCGATGGACTGCCCCGCACCCCCGAGCATCCCTGCCAGTGACCCAGCCAATCCCCTGGTGAGTCCCCGGCCAGCCCCACTGGGCTCTCTTGTGGGCTGGGGGGCTCTGGGTAGCCTGTTTCTGAGCCCGGGTGACTTTAGGCAACAGCAGCAGAGAGTGAGGGATGCTTCTCTGTCACCTGGGGTCCCAGCAGCCGGCCCCTCCCCGGCCCTCTGCGCTGAGGGGCTCCACCACCTTGCAGCCATCCAGCAGAGCAGCAGCTGCCCCGGGGTGGGGTTAGAGGGCTGCCCCCTCCTCTGGGGCCGCCCTCTTCCGCCCCTCTCTACCCGGCCTTGCCCGGAATGGGTGCTGGGTAGGCTGGGAAGTGCCTCAGAACACACCCAGCACCCCGGGGTCCGAGCTCAGGCCTGGGTCCCCGCCTGCGCAGGGGGCAGAGAGGGCTCTGGGGGACTCCCCCGACAGCCTGGCTGCACTGCGGCTGGACCAGCTGCCCTCGGGGGACCTGGACGGGTTGGTGCCCACGCGAGACGAGCAGGGCCGGCCCATCCCCGAGTGGAAGCGGCAGGTGATGGTGCGACAGCTGCAGGCCCGGCTGGGCGAGGAGGACGGCACCGCGGACATCCAGGTGCGTGGGGCGGGGTGGAGCCTGGCCCATTGCCTGCCCTGCCGAGCCCAGCTTCCCTCTGTCCTTGGAGGCCCGGAGCTCAGCACTGCCCTGCCCCCAGGCTGTGTCCTGCAGTCCTAGATGCCCGTAGCCAGCCTGCTGTGTCCTCGGTCTCGGCGGTGCTGTCCCTGCCTCGAGGCCAGCTGCTCGCGCCGAGTTACAGTGACCAGGGGAGAGGCCCCGCTACCCCGCCAGTCCCGTGTCCTGGCCAGCGCCGGTGGCTGCTGCGGGCTCCAGGCTGGGTTAGGGCAGAGCCAGGTGTGGCAGAGCCAGGTGTGGCAGAGCCCCTCTTGCCGGAGCTTGAGGAGACCTAGGGGCGGGGCCAGGCCAGGTGTGTGCAGTCCCGGATGGGCAGAAAGCCAGCAGCCCCCATGCCAGACCTTGGGGCGGAGACTGCCCAGGACAGGCATGGGGACGGGGCAGGAAGGTGGTGGGGGCAGAGCAGTGGCTGAGGGCCTGGTCTTCATTTTCCAGTGCAAACACAGGGCACCAGAGTGGGCTAAGGACTGGGAGGGCTCTGACCGTGGACACAGCGAGTGGGGCCAGAGGAGGACTTGGGGGTGGGGCGGGGCGGGGCGGCTCTCCTCGCCTCTTCCCAGGAGACAGTGCCCTGCCCACCTCCAGCTCCAGCAACTGCCTGGCTTGTCTGTCTGTCTTTCTTTCTTTCTTTCTTTCTTTCTTTCTTTCTTTCTTTCTTTCCTTCTTTCTTTCTTCCCTTTTCTGACTGGGGACTGAACTAGGGCCTGCACACTCAGTTGCATCGCCAGCCTTTTTTCGTTTTTTATTTTGAGACAGAATCTCACTAAGTCACTAATTTGCCCAGGCTAGGCTTGCACTTGTGATTCTCCTGCCTCAGCCTCCCGGGGCACTGTGGCCCGTGCTTTCTAAGGCCAGGCAAGGGCCAGCCAGTGTGTCCAGAGGCTGGGTAAGGGTCGGGGAGCTCAAACCCAGCCACCCTGGGCGCGATGCCCAGTGTGGGCTGAGCCCTGGTGACCGGCCCTTTCTGTGCCCAGGATGGTGGTGGCGGGAGTGCAGCCCCTGCAGAGCCGGCTCCCTGGCGGTACTCACAGGCGCACCAGGCCATCCTGGGCCCCTTCGGGGAGCTCCTGACGGAGGATGACCTGGTATACCTGGAGAAGCAGATCGCAGACCTGCAGCTGCGGCGCCGCTGCCAGGAGTACGAGAGCCAGCTGGGCAGGCTGGCGGCCGAGCTGCAGGCGCTGCTTCCCGAGCCCCTCGTCAGCATCACCGTCAACAGCCACTTCCTGCCCCGGGCGCCCGGGCTGGAGGACCAGGGGGACCCGGCACTGGCAGCCCAGCCCAAGGACCCTGCAGAGGCAGGGACGACTGAGCCAGGTGGGCACCCACTGCCCTTCTGGTGCGGCCACATCGGCCGCCTGGTGCGCAGCCTGTCACTGCTGCTGAAGGGTGTGAATGGCCTGGCCCAGGGTGAGGAGCCCGCGGCTGCCCTGGGCCCACCGGACACCCACAGGGAGGCGCCCGCCGGCCCAGCCCGCAGCGAGGCCCAGCGCGAGATCCAGGGCTGGGGCGTGTCCGTGCGGATGCTGCGTGGCCACTTTGAGTCTGTCCCCGCTGCCAGCCCGCCCTGTGCCCCTAGCCCAGGCCTCTGTGAGGCTGGCTCCCGGCCCGCGCAGTGCATGGGAGGCTGCTGGCCAGCGGAACCGCATCCCCGAGGCGGGCCAGCAGGAGGCGAGCCCGGGCCGGGAGACACGGAGGAGGCCAGCGACTCGGGCATCAGCTGCGAAGAGGCCGCCTCAGAGGCGGGCGCACTGCCCGGGCCGGACCTGGCCAGCCTGCGCAAGGAGCGCATCGTCACACTCTTTCTCGGCCACTGGAAGCGCTCGGCCTACACACCCGCGCTCAAGACGGCTGCCTGCAGGACCCTGGAGGCCCGGCGCACCCGGCCACAGGGCCTTGAGAGCCTGCGCCCCACAGAGCCACAGGCCCCACAGAGCCTGCGCCCGCCCTCTCCGCCCCCCGGCCCGGGCCCGAGGCTCGGCCACCTGTGGCAGCAGCGCAGCGCCATTGCCCACCTGTTGGGCAGCTGGAAAGCCATTCTGGCGCATGTGCCCGCCCGGCAGCTACGGCGGCTGAGCCGGCGGCCCCGCGGGCCCCTGTCCCCCGAGCAGTTCCTGCCCCACGTGGACGGGGCGCCCGTGCCCTACAGCAGCCTCTCCCTGGACCTCTTCATGCTGGGCTACTTCCAGCTGCTGGAGTGCGACCTGCCGCCGGAGGAGCGCAAGATGCGGCACCTGCTGTGCTTCGAGGTCTTCGAGCACCTGGGCGCCCACGGCTGGGAGGCGGTGCGGGCCTTCCACAAGGCCGTGACGGACGAGGTGGCCACCGGCCGCCGCGCCTGGACCGATGGCTTCGAGGACATTAAAGCCCGCTTCTTCGGCTCCAGCCAGGGTCCGGCCTGGGACATGGAGCCCGGCAGAAAGTCAGGGGTGACCCCGCTCGGGCCCCTGCCGCGCCCCTCCGTCCCCAGCAGCGTCCCTGGAAGTGTGCCCAGCAGTGTGCCCGAGCCAGCGGCACAGCGGCCAGGTCCCGGCTCGCAGCGGGGCAGCTTCAACAGCGAGGACATCTGCGGCTACATCGACCGCAGCTTTGCCTTCTGGAAGGAGAAGGAGGCAGAGATGTTCCACCTCGGGGAGTGAGCGCCGCCACAGATGCCAGCTGGACGGGCAGCCTGGTCCTCCCGCCGCCTCCCTGCCCAGCCCCTGCTCTGCAGAGGGCGGAGGGCCCGGCATGGTGCCCGCCTGAGCGGGACTGAGCTGGAGCCCTCGGTCGCTGCAGTCACAGGGTCCTAGTGTCCCATCCCAGCCCAGCGCCCTCTGCCTGGGCACCGGGACCCAGGGTGCCAGCCTGCTTCCTGCTTCCCTTCCGGGGGCTTGAGGGCACGGGTCTGTCCGGTCCTGCCTCTCCCTCCCACTGCCCCCCAGAGCACCATGGGGCAGAGCTGGAGAGAGCAGACACGGCGACACAGCATAGAGACCACACTGCCCGCTGTCCAGGCGCAGGGCGGTGGCCCACACAGACTCCCTGCCTCCACACCAGGAGCCACTGCCCTGCTAGTGCCCACCAGGCCCCACCAAGGACCCTGGCCCCGAGGAGGGGCTCCCCAGGCGGCCCCTGCCCCCTAAGCAGCAGGGCCCTGAGAGCGAGGACCGGGGTGCCAACCTCAGCGGACAGCGCCGGGCCACTGTCACGTGGGCACTCAGGTGTTACCAGGCCATCCCTTCCCCAGCAGCAGAAGGACGGGGAGGAGATGGGCCCTGCCTCGGGGCCCCTGCTGGCTCAGGCTCCACAGAGCTAGGCCTCAGAAGGACCTGAAGGCTGTCGAGGTGCAGCTCGTCCCCAGCTCCTGGTAGCAGCCGGAAGGATGGGCCGCCGCGAGGCTTTGGGGTGGGGGCTGTGAAAGGCCCCTGGGCCTGGGTGAGGAGGGGGTTTCCTGACTCCATGTCCCCCCTGCCCGCGGTCACACAGCTCAGGGTCAAGTAGACAAGGGGACAGGCCACCGCCAGGGGTCTCCTGCAAGGAGCCCTCAGCCCTGGGTTTCGCAGGCCGTGCCCTGGGGAGACATGAATTTGGGGTGGCACCAGCAGGGCTGGGCAGGGAAGGGGCACTGACCCTGGCTCCCGGCCACTGCTGGCCACTTACCATCCCTGGGCCCTGCCACAACCCCCACGGAGACACTCACCTGCAGCTGACCCTGGACCTGCATTTGCTCAATAAATCTCCCATCCCAGGCCAGCCTTGCTCTCGTGTTATTGTCCAGGGTCCTGGGAGTGCCCCTGTGCCCATGCGCCCAGCCCCGGGCGGGCGCCAGACCCAAGCCCACCCTGCCGCTGCAGGCCAGGGCGGCAGCCTCAGTTGCCAGGCCCTGGCCTCTCACTGCACACTGCAGTGGGGACCCGGCCCTGAGCGGCTTCTGGGTCCAGGCAGGGTGGACCCAGTGTCCTAAGGAGAGGGGGCTCCTTCCAGGGGTCCCCTTGGCTCAGCATCCCAGGGTGGACCCGCCAGGCAGGGCCCGGCCTGCCCCTGCACATGGTCTGTGGTTGCACCTGAAGCCAGGTCTACCCAGGACTGGGAGGAGGACGAGGCTTGGACATAAGGCCTGGGAGCCGGGCGGGGTCGGCAGTGGGGCACTCTGGTGTCTCCTGGAGCCCCATGGTGACCACCTGCCAGGCGATGTCCGAGGGGTGACAGAGAAGGGATGGGCAGCAGGCAGGCAGCCCGTCCTCAGGTGCCCGGGGCAGCAGCTCAGTGCCCTCTCTGGGTGCCCCAGCCCACCCACCTGTTTCTAGCATGGTCGGACCGGGGCCATCAGGGCTGGGGCTCCTGGGCCAGGTGGGGGCCAGGTGAGGGTATAGAGGGGGCACAGATCTGGGCTTGTGCTGGAAGGAAGGCACCCCCGTCCCTGCTATAGACAGACAGCCTGCTCTTCCAGGCGGGGAGACTCTGGGAAAGCAGGTGACTCACCCCAGGGGAGAGGTCCCGCGTGGGGCCTGGTCAAGCCAGAGCACCTCCACGTGCGCCCAGACCAGGCTACCTAGTGAGCCAGCGTCAGGCAATCCCCCGCCCTAACGTGTGTGCAGGTCCAAGACAAACTAGAAAAGCAGACTGGAGGGACAGGTGGTGCACACCTGTCATCCCAGCACTCAGAAGGCTGAGGCAGGAGGATGACTGCAAGTTTGAGGTCAGCCTGGTCTACATGGCGAGACCCTGTTTAAAAAGAAAAAAAGAAAAACAAAAGCAAAAGCAAAAGCAAAGGCAAAGAAAGGCAATAAAGAATAACAGACGGAGGGGCTGGGGATTTAGCTCAGCGGCACAGCACCTGCCTGGCAAGCTCGAGGTGGTGAGTTCGATCCCCAATACCAGGAAAAAAAAAAAAAAGGAATAACATATGGTCTCAGAGGCAGTGAACACTGCCTGGGACTGCTGGGGTGCGTTGCACATTTGGGTGACATTTAAGGCAGCGAGGATTGTAGTGACTCCAAATTTCCTTTGAAGGAGAAACAAAGGAAGCTGTGAGTACCCCCCAGGGAGCCCCCCTGACCCTCCACCTTCGGCAGTCACAGTACACAGCCTCCCTGAATATGGTCGCTTCTGACTAGGGGGGGACGTGGCAACCTCACAAGGAGGACGCCTCCCCGCCAGCCCACAGCACGGCAGGCCCAGCAGGAGCCAGGGCCGTGGCCGCTATGCGCAGGGCGCTGTCAGAGGCAGCAGCCGCGGACTGAGTGAGAGACGAGGGACCGGCGGCTGGGGTGCGGGGGGAGGTGTCACGGTGATGGAGCAGTGGCCCCTCAGGCCGGCTGGCTGTGACAACAACATGCCCATTCCGGCCAGAGGTTCCTGACTTCACACCAGCACACGCGGCCGGGGGAAGAGGTCTCGGCGAGCCCTCGCGAAGCCCGCGGGACGGCAGAGCGCGTGAGCCCGCTGCTGGCGGGAGGGGGCTGCGCAGCGCAGCGTCCAGCTCTGGCTCGGCCGCTCCCCGCCCCGATGCGGCTCCCACCTCCACTCTGTGCTGGGGAGAAAGATGGTCCCATGCTGCGTCGGTGGTTCACACTCAGTATGTCCCGGGGAAGGCATGGCCCTGTGGCCCCCCTGCGCCTGACATCCGTGGTGGGACCCGCGTGTCCCTCCAACTCGAGTAGGCGAGCTGTGCTCTGCTCAGAGATGTGAACTCGCACCTGCAAGCGCAAGCATCACTGGGAGGCGACCAGGGGACGCCTGGGGGTGCGCAGCTGGTGCGGCCTGAGCCCTGGCCAAGCTGTCCTGGAAGCGTCGTCCACGAGGACGCTTAGAGCCCCTGGCACTGCAGGTGCGGACTGCTGTCACCACGGTCCCCTGCTCCACAAACGCTGAAGCAGGGGGCGGACCCCAGGCTGGGCTGGGCTGGGCAGGGATGTGGGGTGAGGGCCCTTGTGCTGAGGCAGGAGGATTGCAAGTTCAAGCCCAGCCTGGGCAGCTAGCAACTTAGTGCAACACTGCTTCAGAAAAAGAATAAAAAAGATTGGGGGTAGCTTGGTGCAAAGGCCCTGGGTCCAGACCTCATTCTTCCAGGAGGGCTGTCACCTGGGCCACTCAGGCCCCTCAGTCTGCAAGGGCATCGGGCCCATTCCCAGTGGGGCTGGGCGGGCCAGTGCCAGCTGCAGGCATGAGGGCAGGCTCGGAGGGGAAGGCTGAGGCTCCTCCATGCACCTGGGGCCCTGCCAGGGGCCCCGCAGGCTCCCAGCTTCCCCTTGGACGTGGGTCACCCCCAGCCCTGCTGATTTGGGACCCTATGGCCAGAGAGGACCAAGTGCTGCCTGAGCGGCTGGCGCCAGCGGCGATATTTTTAGATGACCCCATTTCTTAGCTGTCCCTGGCGCTCAGGGGAGGGAGACACCAAGGCGGCCTGGGCCAAGGCCGCGTAGGGCAGGAGGGGCTGTGTCTCTGTCCCGTGCCCGCTCCATGGGGCCGTCACTGCCACCGAGGCATCCCGCCTGCACCACACACCCCGAGCTCTGGGGACATAGCTGGGTTCATTCATGCACTTTCCCCTGGACACACACCTGGGCCACTGTGTGCCCCCCGTGTAAAGGTAGTGCGTCGGGCCCTCGGTGCCTGCCCCCAGCCTGGGCTCTCCCTGCCCCTCCAGGTACCCACCTGGCTCAGCACCCACTGTCCCCATCCTGCAGATGACAAAAGGGGGACACGGCATTCCCTGCCCCCCCAAGCCTTCCTGATGGCCCTAGGAGCTCCCCGCCGTCTGCCCTGGCGCTGTCGCTGGCATCCCCGGCAGGACGTGGCCAGCATGGGCTCTCAGAGGAGGCAGTGGGCAAGGAGCCGTCACCTCACTCCCTCTGCCAGCCTGGCCCGCCCCGCCCTCCTCCTGTGCAGACACAGGCTAAAAATACCCCCATCCCACGTGGCCACGAGCCGCATAGCCCACCTGCCGCTGTGGCGGCCTGCAGTTCCGTCTCAGGTCTGGAACCGTCCGCAAGGTAGGCCTGGGGCTCCGGGTGGGCCGGGAGCGGGGTGTGGGGTGGGGTGTGGGATGGGGTGTGGGGTCAGGCCTACGACCCGGGAGAGAGTGCTTGGTCCAGAGGCCTCCACAGGCCTGGCCAGTTCCGGGAGCAGGGCGGCGCTCCGGTCTCCATACTGCCCTGCTACAGAGCGGGAGGGGGAAGCTGACTCCCGCGGATGCAGCCAGGGCCCCGGTCCCCACAGGCAGTGCTGGGCCCTCCACTGCCCTGCCCACTCACGCTCCTGTGTTCCTCGGAGGCCTGGGGGCGGCCAAGACCTAAGGAGCCCCCTGCCCCAGGCTGGCACCCCAGGCAGCAGGTGTCAGCAGAAGTCCAAGGCCCCAGAAGGGGCTGGGCCTCCCACTGCCGCCACCACCCCCGCAGCTGGCCAAGGGCAGCACAGCAGCAATGCCTGGAATGTGAGGCCTGGGGTGGTGGCCAGGGACAGGCCCCTGGCCCACAGAGTCCTCGCCAACCTGTCCTCACCCACCCAGTGCCCTGGGTCCTGAGCTGTCGGGCCCAGCGTGAGCCCAGCCTGGTCCCTGAAAGGCCGCAGTGGGCTCCTCAGTCTTTCCTGGGTCTATGGGAAGGGGACTGGACACCAGAGGGCCCGAGAGTGACCGGCCACGTGTGGGCGGGCTTTTGGCTCTCACTTGCCTTGTAGTGGCGCCCTCTGGTGGGCAGACACCTCCCTGCTGTGCAGTCTTTGGCCCTTGGGTGACTTCAAGGAACACACCGCAGACTACTTCTTTGGGACTGTTTTCTTCGGGCAAAGTGCAGAAGCAGGTGAGTGTGTGTTTATGCAAATAAGCAGATTTGCTGGTGCAAACCCTGGACCGTTGGGCTGAGAAACTACAGGGGAAACTCCTGGGCATCATTAGCAACGGCCCTCGGCTATGGTCTGGCCCTGGCTCCCAGCTCAAGTCCAGCTCTCAACCGCCCCCGTGCCCCGTCCCCAGCTGTGAAATGACAGCACTCACCTAGCGGGGGCTGACCCAGGGTGCGGCCGGGGATGCAGCAGGACACAAAGGGGGCCGCAGGAGGACGGTGCACTGCTGCTTCCACCCTCAGCCTCTCTGCAGATGAGGAAATCGGACAGAGGGGGCGTGGCTTGCCCACAGCCACCTGCAAGGTCGCAGCAGGTGGGCAGTGCCATCAGTGGGGCAGGAAGCCAGAACACGTCCCACAGCCTGCACTGCAGCGTGGGCCCAACAGAAGCCGTGCGGGCTCTGGGTGCAGGGCTCGCCGTCCTCTGCCGCTGTGCTCACCCTGCCAGCCACAAGTCGGTCTCTGCTCCGACTTCTGTCTCCTCCCTGTGCAACGGGAGCAGCGCTTGGCCTGCTGCACAGGGCCCGGCTGGACTGCGGGGGTGGTGGTCACTCAGGCAGGGGAGACTGTGGCTGAACTTGCTGTGCTTTCCAGGAGCTCAGGAGGTGCCAGGCACCTCTGTGGGGACAAGGGCCAACCGAGGACCCCGGCTGGCGGCATCATGGTGCGGAATGTGGATGACCTGGACTTCCAGGTGCCCTCACACGCCCAGGACATGCTGGATGGCCTGCAGCGACTGCGCGCTCTGCCCAAGCTGGCAGATGTCACACTGCTGGTGGGCGGTCAGGAGCTGCCCTGCCACCGCGGCCTCCTGGCACTGAGCAGCCCCTACTTCCACGCCATGTTTGTGGGCAACTTTGCCGAGAGCTTCTCCGCACGCGTGGAGCTGCATGACGTGGAGCCGGCTGCGGTGGGGCAGCTTGTGGACTTCGTGTACACCGGCCGGCTGACCATCACACAGGCCAATGTGGAGGCGCTCACGCGCACGGCCTCGCGCCTGCACTTCCCCGCAGTGCAGAAGGTCTGTGGCCGCTACCTCCAGCAGCAGCTGGACGCCACCAACTGCCTGGGCATCTGTGAATTCGGGGAGCAGCAGGGGCTGCTCGGGGTGGCGGCCAAGGCCTGGGCCTTCCTGCGGGAGAACTTCGAGGCCGTGGCACAGGAGGACGAGTTCCTGCAGCTGCCCCGGGACCGGCTGGCTGCCTGCCTGGCCAGCGACCTGCTGCAGGTGCAGCCGGAACAAAGCCGGCTCGAGGCCCTGCTGCGCTGGGTGCGCCATGATCCCCAGGGCCGGGCTGCCCACCTGCCCGGGCTGCTCCGCCTGGTGCACCTGGGTGCTGTGCCCAGGCCCTGCGTGCAAGAGCTGCTGGCCACAGAGCCGCTGATCCAGGCATCACGGGCGTGCCAGGAGGCCCTGACCCGGGGCCACAGTGGGGTGAGTGAGGGGCCTCGGGTCCCATCCTTGAGAAGCAGGAGCGTCACCCTTGAGACCCCCCTCGCACTGGGAGGAAAACCAAGTGTGAGCATCCCCAGGTGTCCCCAAACATGCATCACACCCTGCCTTGGGCGGGCGCCTGCATGGGCATCACTGGCACCCCTCCGGGACAGACTGTGCTCCCGAGTATGACAGAGCCAGGACGTCAGGCGTGCTAGCTTTCTGAGGCTGTGGCAGAACAGAGGAGATAACAGCTTAAGGGAGGAGAGGCCAATTGCGGCTTCGGATTTCAGGCTTGGGTCCAGCAGCTCCAGAGGGGGAGCCAGGAAGCCGACAGGCAGAGACGAGGGGCGGGACCAGAGCACCCTCCCGCTCCATCCGGAGGCTCCGCCTCCTCATGAACAAGCCCACTCGAGTGAGAGCTGTGAGTGGCTTCACCCATGATGAGCAGAGCATTGTCATGACCCAGTTCCTTCCAGGGAGCCTACCTCTGAACACTGCTGTGACAGGGACCAGCCCCACCCCGCGAGCCGGGGGACGAGTGCTCTCCACACCAATTTGGGGTGGGGGTCTGGAGGGGCCTCGTCCTAAGGAGCCCGACGTTCACTGGGCTCGGGGTGTGCGGCGGGATGGAGAGGTCCCTGCAGCGGCACGTGCTCGGGGTGCGGGGCGTCCTGCGGGAGCTGGCAGGCGTGAGGGCCTTGGGGAAGTGGCATCAGAACTGGGCCTCAGAGGCTGGCAGGAGGGGGCAGGAGGAAGAGGGAATGCCCTCCAGTATTGCCCCACAGTGCAGCTGTGGCCATCTGCACCCGCGGGGATGTACGCTTGTGTCCACACCTGTGTGTATACGCAGGCACACGCATGCGCCTACCCGGCCCACACGCGCCCCGGGCCCGAGGCTCATCATGCCAACTCCTCTCCCCAGGCGCTGCCCAGCCCCCCGCAGAAGCTGGAAGAGGTGCTGGTGGTGGTGGGTGGCCGGGCCTTGGAGGAAGACGAGGAGGGTGGTGAGGAGCCCACGCCGCGCCCTGGGAACTTCGCCTTCTATGACACCCAGGCCAGTGAGTGCCCTCCCTGTGCTGTCCCCAGCGCCTGCAGGCCCGGGAGTGGGTGCTCAGGGAACCACCCGCCTGCCAAGTCCACGTCCAGGTGCCCATGGACGTCGTGGGTGTAGATGAGTCTGGAGCCTTCGTGAGAGGCCTGAGGCTAAGCGCTGGTCCTTGGGGCTCCTCCTGCCCCCTGCCCTGTGCTCCAGATGATGAAGGAGTGCAGTGGGGGTAACGGTGAGGGGCAAGAGCCCAGGCTCTGCTCCAACGGCTCCCCCGCTGCTCCCCCATCAGGCCGGCTTGGGGATGCATGTGGTCTCCCCCTTCTGTGAAACGGGCTCGGTGAGGGGCACCAGGAAGGAAAGGGGGTGCAATGGGGCCCGGGGGGCTGGGGAGCCTCTGTGGACCCGCGGTGGCACTCGCGGTCACCTCCTGGGAAAATACTCTCGCCGCTGGCTGCGGCCTAGGCCAACGCGGTCCCTGCCAGCCCCACATGGGGCACCCCTGGCTGGCACAGGAGGAGGCCCAGCGGCTGTCCTAGCCAGGCCGGGTGACGAGAGGGATTTGGTGCTGACGTCAGGAAGCAGCTGTGGCCGGGCTGGCGGGGACCCCGGGGTGACACAGACGTGAGTCAGGGACACTCAGTCCTTGCCCGTGGTGCCAACTCCGTTCTCTGCAAGGCCCGGGTTCCACATGTCCCAAGCGCTGTCCCAGGCACTCGCTGCCCGAGGCCCAGCTTCCCACAAACACCCCAGAAGCCTCCCCCATGGGTACAGTCTCGGGGGCTTTCCCAAAGTGCTTCTCATCCTTGGCCTCAGCTTGCCCGAGGTCGCGCAGCCCCGCGCACCCCATCTCACGCCCCCTCACTTCCCTGAGAGCCAGGGACGCCTCCTTTCTCAACAGGGAAACCGAGGCTGGGCTGGGTGGGAGACCTGCTGCAGGGTTGTGGTGTCCGGCACCCCACGACCCAAAGAATGGAAGAATGCTGCCACCCGCTAGTGAGGCCCACAGCGGAGGCCCCTGACCCATGCAACCGTGGGGTCCCTACGGGTCAGGGGAGCTCTGTCTTGTGTCCTGGGTGCCATCCTGTGTCCAGTCTGGTGCTGGGTGCTGAGAGGCGTGGGGCAGAATGACCCAGGCAGTGAGGGCCGGATCCAGCCCCACCCCACAGGTGTCCCCTCCCCTGCTGAGCCCCTGCTGGCCCACCCCCGTGGCAGGGAGCCGTGTCAGCACCCCACCCCCGGACCGGCCACCCGACCCTCTGCCTCTCGTCCTGCCAGGACGGTGGATGGCGCTCCCCGACTTCCCTGACTACCACAAGTGGGGCTTCTCCCTGACGGCGCTCAACAACGATGTCTACGTCACAGGTGGGCAGCCTGGGCCCAGCCAGCACCCGCAAACCAACCTTCCCGCCTCCGTGGGGTCCCTGACAGTTTGGCTGGAACCCTCAACCTGTCTTGGGACATGAGAGCGAGGACACTTAACTCCAGGGCCCCAGACCTGCTGCCTGGGGTCCTCAGGAGGAGTTGTGTGACAGCCGGGTCACCCTGGCTTTTCCGAATAAGAGGCAGGGTAGAAACCCTGGATCTGAGTCCTTGTCTACAGGGAAGGAGGTCTCATAGCCGACCGCCCCTGCAGCCCCAACCCGGCTCATGGTCTGGTCGCTGGGACCTCAGCACATTTGGGGTCACAGCCTGGTATGGGGTGTGGATATTGAGTCCAGAGACCGCAGGCCAGTGGCATCCATGTGGACAAGGCCTCTCCCAGCAGGTGGCTCCAGGGGCACCAAGACGGACACCTGGTCAACCACCCAGGCCTGGTGCTTCCCGCTGAAGGAGGCGGCCTGGAAGGCGGTGGCACCCATGCTGAAGGCCCGCACCAATCATGCCAGCGCGGCGCTCAATGGGGAGATCTATGCCATCGGTGGTGAGTTCCTCACCAGCCCAGCCTGTGGTTGGTTGGAGCCTCCTGGGCCTATAGCCCCTGTCCCCAGCCCAGGGACACTGCTGCTTGTGGCTGTCCAGGGTGTGGCACCTGTTGCGGTCAGGGTGCCCACACCCGGCTCCCAGCAGGCGACCCTGGGACCCCTGCCTGGTGTTCTCAGTAGCCAGCCAGCCCGGACTCTTGTGACACATGTGGGATGGAGCAGGCAGAGGGTGAGTCAGGTGGTGTCCAGCTGCCAGCAGGGGTGACCACAGGCTCGGGCCTTGGCTTGGGGCACTGGGGAGCCATGGGGTGAAGGATCTACTGTGCCCTCCCCACCGAGCCCCTCCCTGGCCTGGCACTGCCCTGTCCCCACACACCTGAGAGCGCTCCAGCAAGGAGCCCCAGAGCGGGCAATGAGGCGGATATCAAAAGTCATGCCCTTGTGGCTCCAAAGATCATGAAAGAGCCACGCCTGGCCCTGAGGGATGTCAGAGCCCCCGCCTGTCCTGGCCACCCCCTCTTTTCTCTCCACGGCGGGACCTTGGCCAGAGAGCAGACTGCACACACGGTTCCAGGGCCCAGGGCACCCGGGGACCCCAGGTCCGCAGAGGGTGAGGCAAGGCTTCCGGGTCACGAGGGTCCCTGCATCGTCACAGCCAGGCTCCGTCCCGGAACTGGAGTTTCCCAGCTTCCTGATCTCCACTTCTGGGAGCCTCGGTTTCCCCGCCGGTGACCTGGGCAAGCTCCCTGCCCCTGCAGTGTGCGCCTGCCCTCCCTGCCCTTCTGGTCCTGGGCACCGAGGCTGGGTTTGCTCCCTCCTCCCAGCCCCCACGGCCTCGTCCCTGCTTCCCCTGCAGGCACCACGCTGGACGTGGTGGAGGTGGAGAGCTACGACCCCTACACAGACAGCTGGACGCCCGTGCGGCCGGCGCTCAAGTACGTCAGCAACTTCTCGGCGGCCGGCTGCCGGGGCCGGCTCTACCTGGTGGGCTCCAGTGCGTGCAAGTACAACGCTCTGGCGCTGCAGTGCTACAACCCTGTCACAGGTAGGCGCTGCGGGGCCGGCGTGGGGCCTGGGGCCCTGGGAAAGCTGACCACGTCCCACCAGCGGGGGATGGCAGAGAAAGGCAGGGAGGGGCAGGGGCCAGGGCACTCGGGCGTCACCTCACGGAGCTCCCGCCCAGCTGTGGAGGCGAGCTGCTGTCTACCCCTCGCAGAGATGCAGCCTTGTGGGGGCACTGCCGAGCTCCTTGGTCTGGACTCCACACTGGGGCTCGGGCCCCGCTGGACTGTCTGCAGCTCTGTGGCTCCTGACCCCAGACTGGACCTGTTTCACCCCCTGGATGGTGGTGACGACAGTGGGGCCTGTTGCAGAGTGATGTCAGGATCAACAGGGCTGATGGGCCCCGGATGAGGGTGGGGGTTCCCAGGCCCGGGGAAGGGGCAGGAAGGAGGCTGAGGCCCAGGGCTCCGGGCCAGTCCCGTGGGATGGGGTCACCAGGCCAGGACCCCCAAGGCTGAGGTTCCTGGGAGCCCCAAGCCTTGGATCAGGGAGAGGCCTCTTCGGGCGGCCAGTGCGCTGAGGCAGGAAGGGGCGTCCCCGCTGGCCCCTGTGAGCAGGAACCCCGGCCCCGACACAGTGCCCTTTGCCACACAGATGCCTGGAGTGTGATTGCCTCGCCCTTCCTGCCCAAGTACCTGTCCTCCCCGCGCTGCGCTGCGCTCCATGGGGCGCTCTACCTCATCGGCGACAACACCAAGAAGGTCTACGTGTACGACCCAGGAGCCAACCTGTGGCAGAAGGTGGGCACTGCCACCCACCATGGGCTCCGCAGGGGCAGCCGGGGGCAGGGGTGAGGGTGGCCTGTCTCCACGGTGAGCAAAGCCAGGCCCTGCGGGAAGCAGCTCCTTCCAGGGGTGACTACCAGGAGCGTGCCCTGGGCCAGGCAAGCTGGAAGGGGATTCCTGAGCCTCACGGCCCCTCCAGGGCCCCAGCACCGGCCCAGGCCGCCATTTCTCCTCCCTGGTTGCCCACCCGGGGTGCTCTGTAGTCCTGCTGCCCACTGCTGCCCCTGAGCCTTGGTGCTTTGCTGGCCTGGAAGTCCCTATGTAGCCCAGGCTGGCCTCAGACTTGTGGTGCTCCTTCTGCCTCAGCCTCCTGAGGGCTGAGGTTACAGGCCGCGCCCAGCACAGAGCGAGAGCGGCGAGCTCCCAGGGTCACAGTGCCCTGCTTGGGATGGGGCAGGCAGTCCCTCTCCCCGCTGTCCTGTGCACCCACGGAGGGCCCCTGGCCATTGTCCTCTGTCCTCAGGTGCAGTCCCAGCACAGCCTGCACGAGAATGGCGCCCTGGTGCCCCTGGGTGATGCGCTGTATGTGACGGGCGGCCGCTGGCAGGGCATGGAGGGCGACTACCATGTGGAGATGGAGGCCTACGACACAGTGCGGGACGCCTGGGCCCGCCATGGCGCCCTGCCCCGTCTCTGGCTCTACCATGGGGCCTCGGCTGTCTTCCTGGATGTCTCCAAGTGGGCAGAGCCGTTTAGCCCTGGCCCGGAGCCCTAGCCCTCGAGGTCGCGAAGGTCCCACCCTGAGGGACCCTGGGCAGGGCCTCGTTGTCCAAGAACAGCCCCACTGATGTGTGCTTGCCTTTCCCCTCGGGGCTGATGCCAAGGGACACAGCACAGCCGGGGATGCAGCCTTGTGGCTGGCACCACAGCACCACACTCCACGCTGCCCCGTGTCTGCGGGGTGGGACGTCCAGGGCCTCAGGGAAGGGGCCCGGGCCCAGGACGGCTCGCGCAGAACCTCAGCTCCTCCTCTGTGGCCCTACAATGGATTCGGGGGAGCTGTGCCGGAGCAGGTGGGGGAGAAGGGGCTCCAGGCCCAGGGCAGGGGCCTCCCAGGTGGGCCTACTTGCCCCGCCCGCCACGCCTGACACCCGAGCAGCGTCCCCCGCAGGGTCCCAGCGTCTCTGTGGGCTCGGGCTGCCTGCTCCACTGCCCGATCTGCTCACGACACGGCCTCGGCCCTGCCCGTGTGTGTTGCCTCCACTGGGAAGGCCGCCTGGGGGCCACCGAGATGGGGCGGGTGAGCAACAGGAGCCAGGGCCTCGGGCCGTTGTGCAGCCCACTTCTCTGGCGGCCTTTATTGACACAGGCCCTCTCTCAGAATGGGTTCACCACAGGTTTCTTTTTTTGCAGTACCGGGGATCGAACTCACAACCTTGCACTTGCCAGGCAGGTGCTTATGCCATTGAGCTATATCCCCAGCCGGGCTTCGCTACAGGGCAGCAGCCGCTCCAGGCAGAAGAGTTGTGGGATGCCTTGAAGGAGCACGGTGTCCCCCAGAGAGGCAGCAGGGGCGGGCCCCCGGGGCTGGCTCAGGCCCCAGAACCTGTGTTTGTACCAAGGACACAGTAAAGAACTCTCACTGGCGTGACGCTGCGCCCGCCTCCCACAGGCAGGATCAGAGGCACCTCAGGGTCCGGCTTGGCCCGGCCTGTGAGGCCCGAGTAGCATCCGTCTCCCAAATAGGTTCCCTCTCCGGGGCTGGCCCACAGGGACCAGGAGCCCCCAAATACCCTGGCTCTAGAGGACCCAGACAGAGTGGGGTCCAGCACCAGCCCCCAAGAGAAAGAGCAGGGCCTTGCAGGACCACCTGGCCATGGGTTGGGTGGGAAGAGCCGGGGCTCTCTGGGGCTGCGGTCAGCCGGGAGACTGCTCAGAATGAAGCCCCTGCGGCAGGCATGGTGGCGTGCACCTGTACTGCCAAGCACTCAGGAGGCTGAAGCGGGAGGATCACAAGTCTCAGGCCAGCCTGGGCAATTTAGTGAGGTCTTGTCTCAAAATAAAAGTGGAGATTCCAAGGAGCCAGGTCGTCTTACTTTGCTCAGAGATAGGCAGCTGGAAGGTGTGGGAGGACGAAGCCTGCGCTACGCTGTGTGAGCGGGACTGGGAGCCCTGAGAGCACGTGCCCGTCGGGAGGGGCTCACACCTCCCGCTGAGCGGCCTCAGCTCTGCTGAGCTGCGCCTTGCACTGGGGGACAGAGTGTCCCCAGGGTCCCAGCAGGGAGCTGTCAGCCCCCCAGTCAGGAACTCAGAGCTCAGGAAAAGCAACCCTGGCTGGGGACCCCACCCCCGCCTCCGGTGAGGGGTGCTGTGCCCAGCACACAGCTCCACGACCTCAGGCCACCCCTAACATCAGGCTGAAGGGTTCCAGGCTGGGGGGATCATCCTGGGAGTGGGCTGTCGGGTGACCCCTGGCCGGGGTGGGGGCACTGGCACTGGGGCCTGCGTGCCAAAGGCCCACAGCAAGACGCCTGCAGGCTCCCAGCGCTGGGGGCAAACGGAGCCTCTTTCCCATGACCTCATCATCAGCAAGGAGAAGTGGGCGCGCAGCTCAGCGCTCCAGGCTTCGGCGGCCAGGCCACGCGGGGGGCCCAAGAATGAGGCTTGGGTTTCAGCGGGGATGCCCATCCTGGGCTCCCCGGGTTCCCTGGCACCACCCCCACTTCTGAGCTCAGGCCTGCTCCTGCAGGCGGACCCCATTTCCTTGATCTGCCTGATTCTTTGCTAAGCTCTGCCTCCTCTGACAGTAAATCTTTTTTGGAAAGGGGACCCCAGAAACATACAGCGCCCCACCTGAAGGCCCAGCATGCTCTGCTCTGTCACCCCGTACCCTGCCAGGCTGGTCCCTCACCACCGCGGGACGGTGGGAGAGCGGGACAGCACTGCAGGAGGCTGCACCAGCACCAGAACCGATCGGATTTGGGTCCAGGCAGAGCCCATGACGTCAGGGGATTGCTCAGTGTTTAGGACAATAGCTGCTTCCCAGGGCAACAGCCTGGGTCCTGGGCCCTGCCCCTCCTGCTGGCCGTTGTGGAGGGGATGATGTCACTTGAGTGTCTTAGGGTCACACTTCCCAAACCGGGTCCCCGAGTCCCCCCCATCCTAAAGCTCTCAAAGGTGGCAGAGCCGGAGCCTGGCCTGCCCAGATGCGGGTCGGCTCAGACAGTGTCCAGGTCGAATCTCAGCCAGGTGCACAGGGAATCCTAAGCGGGCAGATCTGCCCAGTAGGGACAAGACACGGCCATGTGCCCCTCACAGCCTTCAAAGTCACCCTGGACCCAGACCGCACCCCAGCCAGAGGGGGACAACCCCGACAGATGGCACCAGCGCTGGCCATGTTCACGTCCAGAGAGCCGGCCTCCGCCCTGCCTCGCTGCCCCAGCTGCATGCCCCTGGTCACCCGGCCACCTCCCTGGGGTGCCCCAGGGGCCACAGAGTTGATGCAGTGCTGGGCGTGCTCATGCCTTCCAGAGTTGAGGGGGCCTGCACGGAGCTGCCTCTGAGGACAGGAGGCGCACAGTCCACCATGTTCAGCGCCTCACAGAAAAGAGCCAAATCCCGGAGAACAATAACGCCGAACCCCGTTCTCTCTAAAGTGTGTGGGGCAAGACAAATAGGCAAGGAAAATGAAGTAGTTACACAAATGGAGTACTACTCTGCCATAAAGAAGGTTGAACTTGAGTCATCTGTAAGAAAATGGACCCAACATGGTGGCGCACAATCCCAGCACTCAGGAGGCTGAGGCAGGAGGGTTGCTGCAAGTCTGAGGCCAGCTTGGCCTACATAGTGACTTGAAGGCCAGCCTGAACTGCATAGCAAGACCCTGTCTCAAAAAGACAAAAAAAAAAAAAAAAAAAAAAAAAAAAAAGATGCACTTTGAAACCATAATGAGAAATAAATCTGACACACAAACTTAAATCGTTTCTTTTGACATGAGAAACCCAAAGTATAAATAAGGAGCACAAGATAAAAGATAACAGGAAACGGAGATAGCGCTCTCGCCAGCGGGAAGGGGAGCAAGAGATGAGGGAGGGACGTAAAGAGAATCAAGCTTCGAGGTGCCCAGGCGTCAGTGTCCAGGATGATCGTGATTATTACGTACGGCAAGCAAGGACCAATGCAAGTACAAATGAAGCGTTCTGGAGCACGTGTTTCCGGGCCCAGCATCCTGGCACAGTGTGCTGGGTGACTCCTGTCCCGGGAGGCGGCTTAGACCAGGCCCCTCCCCCGAGGCTGGGGCCACATCTGCAGGTTCTGGAACCCCATCCGCCCTTGGTCCACGGACACAGACGGGGAACACCTGCCCCGCAGGAAGTGCTGTGCATGCCGGGCTCTGCCTTTGCCCACTCTGAGCTCAGCACTGTGTGCTGGGCTTGCTGCTGGCCTCTGCCCTGCGCTGTGATATGACAGTGCCCGGTGGGGGTGGCCAGGGACCCAGGGGCGTGCAGGGTGGGCTTCACCTGCGCTGACCTTGGCAGGCCCTTCCACCTCCCCCACACCAGTGGGCACTGCCTGGGTCAGTCCTCCCTGCCCACCCCATCCGTGCTGGACAGCTGCCCGGTTGCAGACCGGCTCGGCAGCCCCAGGCCCTGCAGGTCCCAGCCCCCGCTGCCACTCGCTCCGCCTGCCTGCCGTCTTGCCAGGGCGTCGCGGGGTGCCAGGGTCCAGCCGACGCAGGCGGGGCAGCGCGGAGCCGGCAGGTGCGCGTGCTGTACAGAAGGGGGCGCCCGGCCGGTACCCCAACCCTGCAGCGCGCGCCGGCGCCGGGAGGGGGCGCGGCCGGGAGGGCGCGGGATTCGAGCCCATAAAAGGCACCGTGCCTGGTCGTGCCCACCTGCCGCCCGCATGGCCCCGGCACACCGCCCCGCCGGAGCGCGCCTGCTGCCCGTCTGCGCGGGGCTGCTGCTCGTCTGCGCCGGCCTCGGTGCCCCGGGGCCCGGGGGGAGCCACGCGCGCCCGCAGCCCCTGCCCGGGGCCCCTCTGCCCGCCGAGAGCCACGCGCGCGCTGCCGCCCGCCCGCCGGTAAGCCGGGGCCGCCCGTGTCCCGGGAGCCGCTGTCCCCGCGTGGGGACCTGACGCGGGCGTGGGGACTGTTCCTTGTTCAAACCAAAACTCCACCGCGCCCACAAAGGAAGCCGACACAGTGGGAAAAACCTTCCTCCTAGCGGGCTGGGAAGACCAGGTGTGCGGAGGACGCGCCCGCGGTGCCCGCAGCCCCTCTGCCGCACAGCGGCTTCGGCAGGCGGAGAAGAGACGGGTCTGCGGCCCGGGACCCCCTCCCTCTTTCTGGCTCTTTTTGCCGAGTGACTCCTGGCGAGGAAGCAGCCGTCCGAAGCGGTGCCCTGCGCGCTCCTGCCCGGGCCTGGGGCCAGGGTTGCGGGTTGGGGGATTTGGTGGCACCTCCCAAGTGTCCTCATCAGCCTCAACTTCAGGGAGGGCAGGTCCTCTGGTCTCCTTGTTCTGACGGTGTCTGTGGCCCCACACAGGGCTCTGGCCCCAGCGCCCCACTGAGGAGCCTGGCCAGAGAAGGCGCCCGCTAAGGCGGGGGGCACACGGGGGCTCCCACCTCCCCACAGCCCCGGTGCACAGAGGCCGGGCACCTCTGGGTGGCCAGCCACAGACCCAGGCAGGGGCAGGGCTGCCAGGTGGGTGCCACCTGAGGCCCCAGGAGCAAGGGCTCCTTCCAGGCGAGCCCCGTGGCTTCCCTCCACACTGCGGCAGCCCCAGCTTCCAGGGTGAAGATCAGCAAGGCTCCAGGCACCCCCGAGCCAGCGCCGGTCCGAGTCACCAGGGCCACAGGTCCAGCTGGGAGGGTCAGCTGCGCACCTCACCGTGGCCTGTGCATAGATCTCCATACCATGCGGAGACCCCTGGGGAGTCCAGGAGGGCACCCAGTGGCCTTAGGGGTGAGGGGCAGCCCTGAGGGAGGACTAAGGGCCCAGACCCTCTGTCCGCCCCGAGGTCCCTCTGACGTAGGTCTTCCCCATTGGCCGCGGGGTCTGTGCTCGGTCCTTGGCAAGGACCGGCAGGCAAGCCCCAGGCTGAGGCTCGGGGCCCAGGCAGCTGTAAGACCCCGAGCACTGCCATCGGGCACCGGATCTGCATCCGTGACCTCCTCTAAGCCTGCTTGAGCCGTTTCCTTCCCAGCTGGCATCCCTGCCTGGAGCCAGAGCGCGAGGCCAGCTGCCCAGTGGGCCCAAGGCCTCTGCCAGGAACTGAGGTTCCTCAGGCGCCGCACACACAGGGCGGGAGCTCCCGGAGCTGCTGTCTGCTTGGTTCAGGACTCGGGAGCGCAAGCTAGATGCACAGCGTGACGTCTCACCTGGTCCCTGCCACTGTGCCCTCAGCGGAGAGCGCCTCCCGGGCTCCCACGGGCAAGGACAGAGGGTCTGCTGGCAGCTGGGGTCCCCGATAGTCACAGTCACTGGTGCTCGAGGGCACCCCAGCACCTGCCCAGGTCCCCTCTGCAGAGCAGGCCTGAGGGGACCCCACGAGGACGACCCAGGCCGGCTGTGTTCCAGGAGCCCAGCGCTGAGCGCACAGGCAGCGTGGACCCCCGGGACGCCTGGATGCTGTTCGTCAGGCAGAGCGACAAGGGCGTCAACGGCAGGAGGGGCAGGGGCAAGGCCCGGAGGGTGAAGGTGAGCAAGGCCTGCCGTCACCCCCATGTTTCCAACTGCACACCGGGGTGGGGAGCTGGGGCAGCCGGCCCAGGGAGCCCGCAGTTAGGGGCCAGGCCCCTCTTTCTCTCCCATCTTAGCCGGGGGCCTGGCCTGGCAGGACCTGGCACCTGGCCCTGATGGCCAGCTCCTGCTCTGAGCCCTAGCACGGGCCCTGTCCCCGAGACCAGGAGCTCCAGGTCAGGGCTGCGCAGCCACTGCTCTAGCTCTGGTGGACAGTGGGCTATGAGCCCGGCACCAGGGGCCGGCTGGGCTGTCCCATGGCCTTGCACACCTCCTCACAGCCCTGAGCCACCCGGCCTTGCCCCAGGCCTCTCGGTGCAGGAGGCTCGCTCCTTCCTGGGTTGGCTCCTGACCTGGCCTGTGTGGGTGCCTTAGGGCGCTGGGCCCCAGACAGGAGGACTTGCTGACACTGGCTGACTCTGAGATGCAGGTCTCGGAAAGCGGCCTGGAGTCCCTGCCCCTGAGACCAGGGCCACCCAGCCAGCGCACCTCCGCCTCAGGGCCTGTGTCTTTCTCTGGCTGACAGTCAGGGAAGTGAGGCCTGGAGGGACCACCTGTCCGAGCCCACCGTGTACGGACAGCTCTCCCACTGGTCCTCAGAGGCAGAGGGGACACCCAAGGCTTAAAGCTCCTGCTCGGTGTCCTCACCACCAGGGTCTCTTCCAGCTCGGCCTGCCGGGGCCACCCGGGCCCCCTGGCCCCCAGGGCCCACCCGGTCCCCTCATCCTGCCAGAGGCACTGCTGAAGGAGTTCCAGCTGCTGCTCAAAGGTAGGGGTGATGTGGGGTGTGCCCAGGGCCCCGAGGGGACAGACCGCAGCCACACACCCGCTGGGTCTGGAGCGCCGTCCGGCGTGGAGGAGAAGGCTTGCTGCGGAGCGTGGAGGTGGCTACTCGGCGTCTGCGGCACCAGGTGGGGCGGGGGCACCCGCACCCAGGGCTCCTGCCCAGGCTGTCTGCACTGTGGGCGGCTGCTGAGCGCAGCTCACACTATTTACAGGAATTGAGCCTGTGATGAACTACCGAGCTGTTTCCCCTCTGACCCGTACACCTTGTTCATTTTTAAATGCCACTTTCAGCTGGGTGTGGCGGCACACGCCTGTGACTGGCACTCGGGGTTGAGGCAGGAGAATCTCTGCTTGTATCAGGCCAGCCTGGGCTTCATAGCGAGACTTGGTCTTAAAAGCCTACAACAAACCCCAACCCTTTCAGAGCCTTTCTGAAGGTCCTGGTGTACCTTCCAGTGTGGTTGCAGAAGTTACTTATTCACGCTCAGCTTCTTCCCAAAAATGTGGATAAGCCGGAGTATGGAGACTGGAGGGCCAGGACGCAGGGTGGCTGCCGGGCAAGGCTGAGGGTCAGGGCGCAGTGGCCCCAGGCCCGTGGCCGAGGGGCGTCTCCCATGCCTACGGAGCCGCCCTGCCGGGGGCGCAGAGAGCGGTCCTGGGCATCACCGCTCGCTCCATGCCAGGGGCCGTGCGGCAGCGTGAGCGCGCGGAGAGCGAGCCGTGCACCAGGGGCCTCGCCCAGCCTGCCGCCACCCAGGAGGACGAGGACGCCGACGCGGTGCTGGAGCTGCTGGCCGCGCCCCCGGCCCCGCGCGTGGAGGCCGCCTTCCACTGCCGCCTGCGCTGGGACGCAGCGGTGGAGCGGCGTGCGCTGCAGGAGCTCGGGGTCTACTACTTGGTGAGTGGCGCGGGCCAGACGGGGCGGGGCCCGGGCGGGACCCCCGGTGACCGTCTGTGCGCCCACAGCCCGACGCCGAGGGCGCCTTCCTGCGCGGCCCGGGCCTGGACCTGACCAGTGGCCAGTACACGGCGCCCGTGGCCGGCTTCTACGCGCTCGCCGCCACGCTGCACGTGGGTGAGGCGCGGGCCGAGGGTGGGGCGCTCCCAGCCCGCTCCCTACCCGACCCTGTGTGACCGCGCCCCAACCGCCCACAGCGCTGGCCGAGCCGCCCAGGAGGGGTGCCCTGCGCCCCCGAGACCGCCTGCGCCTGCTCATCTGCATCCAGTCGCGCTGCCAGGGCAACGCGTGAGTTCCGGCCACGCCCCTGCCAGCCCAGCCCCTTCCTCTGGCCCGCCTGGCTGCTGCCCCCTCCCCCCGCACGCAGCAGGCCTGTCCCTGCCAGCCGCCTTCCTGCTGCCATGGATGCCTGAGGGAAAGGAGGTTGGCACCGTTGCCCTCTCCTGAGAGGCTGCCGGGGCACCCTCCCGCCCTTCCCCTAGGGACTGTGCAGCAGGGATGCACTGTCCCCTCTGGTCCCTGAGGGCAGTCCCTGCCACCTCCCCCTGTCCCCTGCCCCCTGGCATGGGGCCAGGCACACAACAGATGCTGACATGTAGCTGAAGAAGGCATGGATGAAGGGGGAAACAGGCTCTGCCTTTGAAAGCCCTATGTGTGTTGGCCAGCTTTCTGGCTTTTTTTTTTTTTTTTTGCACCCGGAATGGAACTCAGGACCTTGAGCTTGCCAGGCAGGGGCCCTTGGCCAGCTTTCGGTGTCACTTGTGGCCACAGTGGCACCTCCCCGGGCACCAGCAATGTCTGGTTTCCCACCGGAGCCAGGGCTTTGCTGCCCCTTGCTCGACTGGCCTTGCAGAGTCCTGTTGGTCCTGTGTCTGGAAACCCTGTGTACACATCACTCCTATGCTAGGCGGGCGGGGCCCAGACTCTGAGGTCACCGTGGGCGAAGGTGTTAGCCTTCGGGGCAGGCTGACCCGCTTTCTGTCTCGGCCGCAGCTCCCTGGAGGCCGTCATGGGCCTGGAGAGCAGCAGCGAGCTCTTTACCATCTCCGTCAACGGTGTGCTGTACCTGCAGGTGTGTGGGGCCGATTGGGTGCAGCATCTGGGCTATGGCCACAGATAGCCAGGGAAGGGGTGCCAGGCCAGGCCCAGGAGGCTGTGGGACCTGCCTAAGTGCCAGCACAGGTCCAGGCAGAGCCAGGCTTCGGGGCCATCTCCCTCCAAAGCCCATCTTTCCCCAGGAGGCCGGGGCTCTGTGGTCCCGTGCGCAGACCTCCCACAAGTCTGGCGCTACACGGGGTGCTCCTAGCCGCCCTTGCCCTCTGCGGGGCCGTGCAGGCGGGCACAGCTTCCCGATGCTGGGTGAAGCCCGAGGTGTTACGTCTTGCACTAAACCCCAGCAGGTGTCTCCTCAGCACTGTGGGGACTTGCCCAGTGGTAGGGAAGCTGACGTGCAGGTATAATTCCTAAAGAAGTTAGTAACATACCTGTTATTCCCGGTGCAGGCCTCCCTCTCGCCCCAGCCCCGGCAGAGCTCCCAGCTCCTGAACCGGCTGTGCTGGAAGCTGAGGTCTGAACCCAGCAGGCCCGAGCTCCCGAGGGCACAGCAGCTCGGCAGGTGGCCTTCTGGATCCGGTGACCTAGGCCTTCCTCAGGCCGTTCAGGGCAGCCAGGCTTGAGTGCTGCTCCCACCATGGCTCTGCCAGGCAGCCCGGTGGAGCTGAGGGGAGGCACAGGAAGCTCCGGGACAGAGCGTTAGGACAGGAGCTGAGCGCTGGCCCAGCCCGGCCCTTGTCCTGTGTGGTGAGGCAGTGATGTGGGGCAGCCGCGGCCTGATAGGTACTGTGCTCCCCACAGGCGGGCCAGTACACCTCCGTCTTCCTGGACAATGCCAGCAGCTCTGCCTTCACCGTGCGCAGCGGCTCGCAATTCAGTGCAGTCCTCCTGGGTGTGTGAGCAGCTGCCACAGGCCCTTCCTCTCCCAGGGAAGTGCAGCAGAGGTCTGAGTGACGTCCAGACAGGGTGGGAGCAACAGTGGCCACACGCAGGTGAAGCACAAGCCGGTGTCCTGGTCAGCAGTTTCCAGATGTCGTCTTGCAAAGGGGAAGGCTGCTGTTGCCCTGAAGGGTCCGGAGCCCCTGCTCAGACTCGGCTCCCTGGGCTCCTCAGGGCCTTTGCCATCTCAGCACAGCCAATCAGGGCCATGCCCAGGGCAGGGTGAGCCTGTGCCGAGCTGAGGGGCCGCCAAGGGGCGGGGAGCCCCAACCAGCTGCCCCTCAGCCGCCCCGTCGGAGCTGGTCACTCGCCCCTTGCCACGGTGTCCTGCAGGGCCCTGGTCAGCCTGCTGTGATTGCTGAACCCAAGGCTTGCTGAAGACACTTGGCACAGCAGCTCAGGGACTGCAGGGACGCTGCACAGGACCTCTGGGGGACTGCGGCCGCTCCCTGTGGAAAGGCGACACTGCCTCCGCAGAGGCTGCTGGCCACCACGGTCCTTCCTGTCCTGAGGCTTTGCTTACTGCTAGGCCTCAGAGGGAGACGCAGCGTACCTTCAGGGTGCACCCTGGCCACATGCTGACCACCAGACTGGGGGCAAGGCCCAGCAGCTCGGGGATGGGTGCGGGGCTCAGTCTGGGGGGAAGGTGAGGGTAGTGCCCCCAAGGAGACTTCAACACAGCCTCCCAGGTTTCCCGGGGCAGGACTGGCATCAGGTAGGCAGCGACGAGGACAAGAGCCAGGAACGGCCTCCAGGGCACCAGCCCAGCCTGGCTGGGGTAAGCAGGCCTGGGGAGACGAGGCAAGTCATCGAACTTCCCAGGCGGCCTCAGGACGAGGCGACCACAGCCAGGCTGAAGGACCCTGGCTCCCAGGCCCGCTCCAGAACCAAACGTGCCACGCCAGGCAGCCCGGTGACACCGCAGACCAACTGCTCTGGCCACAGCCGGCCTGGCCCGATTCTCAGTAGGACTGGAACCCGCCCTACCAGGAAGCACCCAGCGGCCCGGCCCGTTCCAGCACGCACTGATAAGGGTGGCACCGGCACTCCCTCCCTCCTCTGGACCTGCTTTGCACCCAGCGGGCAGATGCGTTATCTCTTCCCCTGAGCACACTGCATGGGCACCTATCTCATTCTCCCCACGTGAGCGTGGGGCGCAGCAGCCCGCCAGGTGTTTACTCTAGAATACCGCCAGGCGGGACACATTTATGGAACTGACCTGGACATGTCATGAAATGACATGAAGCTGGAAACCAAGGGCAGAGCTGAGACTCAGAAGCAACTGTTCACCTGGGCTTGCCTTGGAGGTGGCAGGGAGGGCCTGCTGGGGAGGCCTTTGCAGAGGGGACTGTGGCCTTAGGGGCACGTGAGTCACAGCCTCCACGGTGCAGGGGGACGCCTGGTTTGCTGTAAGGAGGTATCTGCCAAATACGTTGTCTCCTGACTCCAAATGCTGAGGTCCTTTCCTTCAGTCATGCTGCGCCCTCCGAGGTCCCAGTCCCCAAGTGGACCACACAGAGGCTTCGCTCCTTCTCTGCAGGAGGGGCAGCATCGAAGCCTCTGCTGTTCATTTATGGGTAACAGCCACAGATCCCAGGGCAGCTACGGCTTGCACAAAGCATCGACAGAGTGGCCTGGTGATAAGGCTAGTGCTGGGTCAGAGCCAGCTTAGCAGACGGGTTCTGGAGAGGCGAGATTTCAGTCTTGCATCATCCCGAGCCGGCACCGACACGGAACCCAAGAGCTGCATTAGTAGGAAACAGGGACGGTAACATGCCCCACACGCAAACAAGCACTTGAAAGCAGCTTGGAGTGCTTGAGTCAGCTGCTCACACGTGCTCGTCAGCTCAACACCCGCACAGGGAGCCCTCGGGGGGACCGCGATGGCCACCTCAGGCCAACAGGGCCCCAGCTCACACTGTCCCAAGGTGAGAAAGTGATTCCAGGGTTGTCCTGGATGGCAGCGCGGCTGCTCAGTGCCAGAGTGCATGAGGTGCCCCCAAGGCGTCAGACCTGAGGGTGTCAGATACTCACTCCAGGGTCCTGCCAGAGGTGGGAGCTGGCCCACCAGGGCTGCACACCATGGACAGCCTTGCATAGGGACCCAGGCCCTGGCCAAGTCTGGCTCCTGCTCTCAGTGCTGGGGCACTGGAGGGTTCCAAAAGCCTGGTGCTGGTCCTAGCCTGTCCCTGCTGGGCACCACTGCCCTTCGCGCGTCTCGGGGATGAAAGCACAGCGAGGGCCCTGCCTCCTGTAGCTGCAGTCAGCGGAGCCAGGCAGAGCCGCGCACAGGGTTCTGACAAGGACAGACCCAGAGCGTACTCCAGCGCGGACACTCAACCTCTGCGGGGCTGATCACTCAGTGGAATAAGGGAACTTAAAGGCGAGGGAAAAAAAGAAAGAAACCTTTATTTACAGCCGTGGGAGTCCCGCAGGAGTGCACACGCACGCAGCACGTGCACACACTGAACGTGCAGGGCAGCCACACGCCCTCAGTGCCCTACCCGCACCACCATCACTGTGACATTGTCCGCAGAACCCCGCTGCACCGCCTTGCTGGCCAGCCTGTTGCATGCAGCTTCATAGCGAGCGTCCACAGCGGGCTTCCCTTCCCGGGTCTGGATCTTCTCATCCTACCAGGAAGAAAGGGAGGCGACGACACAGTCAGCAACCTGACTGAAATCAGAGAGCCTTGGGGATGGTGGGGACTGGTACTCATCCCTGGGTTAACCCACCAATGGCCATGGCGCACGTGCTGTCAGAAGGGGCCTGGCTGCAGGAGGCAGGTCACTGGGACGTTGCCTCAGGAGATGTTTAGGTGGCGCTCCTCCTAACCTCTGCTTCCTTTGCCCACCATGTCCTTCTGCCATGATGTCCCTGCCTTGCAGCCAGCTATCAATGGACTGAACATTCTGAAACTGAGCCTCATCAAACCTCTCCTTCCAGCTGTGGATGTGGGGAACTGTGTCTCAACAACAGGAAAGCTGACCACAACGGCCCGTATCACTCTCCGAGACACAGCAGCCAGGGGAGGGCCTGCTCTTCCTCATGGGGGTGGCAGGACAAAGTGACCTGGGAGTTCCCTGGGCACTGACAAAGCACAAGGGGTGGTCCTGAACGGAGGACATGGGCTCTGGGACTCCTGCTCCTCTGGAAATGAAGGTGCAGTTGAGGCAAGTGCCACCTCTGTGACATTCCTCACCTCCAGGCAGGACAAGATGAAGTTCACAGCTTCTTCTGGGGTAAAGACCTTGAAGAGCCCGTCACAGGCCAGCAAAATGAACCTACCACCCCGGGAAGAAACATCAATGAGTTTTAGCATCAAACTATGAAAACAAAATGGCCCACAGATGGGGTCAATGTTTCTCAGTGGCTAATGATTTTAAAAACGACTTTTACAAGACCAGCACTACTTAAATGCAGCTCTAAGTGAGGCAATCAGAAGTGGGCCTCCCGCTGTGTCCACCCACAGCCACCAACACCTCCAACGCTAGGTGCTGCACATCCTGAGTCAGGGGGGTTCCCTGCTGGCACATGGGCTATGGTGAACACACCTGCATCCCACCACTACAGCCCGGGGCAGCCCTCGAGGAAGTAAAGCTGACGGTACGTTTCGGACCAAGTGAGGCATCCTCAGGGGTGCTTTACACTGAGGACCTAAGACCCCAGGGGACCCCAGTTTCTTTGGTCTGAAAAGAACATCTGTGCTCTCTGAAGTCCACCCTTCCCCTAGAACGCGGCAGAGGCCCCAGCACCTCGGCTCCTGCACGGCAGCCCCATCCTCCCTATGCAGCTTGCGGGCGGCTGCCGCCTTTCTGCACTGTAGTGCCATCTCCTGTCCTCCTCAGAATGGCACTCGCCTAGCCAGCGTGCTCTGAGAACCGTCTGTGCCGGGACAGAGAGGGGACGAGGCCGAGCTGGGTCCTGCCCCTTCCAGTGTGCAGTCAGACCCAGAATAATGACGCACACAGAGCTGCGGCCACCACACAGGGGCCCAGACTGGGGCAGGCAAAGCACTGTCAGAAAACCAGGAGGGGCCGGTGGAGGCAAAGCAGGCGTGCAGGGGTGGGGAGCTGCCTCTGCAGCCGTGGGAGCTGCCTAGCGTCCTGCTCCCCATTCTCATGGGCTTTGCTCCGCCCCTTCCCGCTACTACCGCACTTCCACCCTCGCCCTACACGGGCTGCCATGCCAAGTCCTGCCTGGCTTGCTCGGGCTGCGACCTGACCTCTGGCCAGTACTTGTTCAGGCCTCCGCTCATGAGGCCAGGCCTTGTCTTACGCACTGGAAGGGAGACATCTGCACAGTCTTTCTGGACCCGTCTTGGGGGACCCTGCTTGAAGCCTCCCAATTCTACACCAATCATGAGCTAAAATTCAAAACCTCTACACAACGGCAGGCCCTGCACAGCCTGGCCCCAAAATACCTGCAGTCACTTCAACTCTCCCTGTGTCCTCCAAGTCCCTTGTGCCACTGCTGGCACCTGCTCGGCTGCACTTTCAACACTGTCACTCGGGCACACAGTGCAGCCTTCTCCAACAGAAATGCCCCTCCGCCACAGCCAGCCTCCACACTGCTGTGACGCCCGACTGCAAGGCTCATCTCTCAGTGGGCACCCCAGCCACTGGTCACACTGTCTCCACACCCCCAGGGCCCAGCGCAGTGCTAGACCCGGCTGTCACCCAGCACGCACCCCGCAGCACAGCAAAGCCTGGACACCAACTGGGAACGACTCCACACGCCGCATGTTCGCACAGTGTGGGGAGGCGATTTTACCTGTCATTGGGGGTCAGCTGGCACCGTCTGATATCAGGCACAGATGTAACCCCACAGCGCTTGTACTGCCCGTCCCCAATGGACCGGGATACCTCCAGCACGCCCAAGACACGCCCGTCCCTAAAAGAAAGGAAAAAACATCAGATGCCTCCTGACAGCATGGGTCCACAGAACTCATCTGACCTTAAAGGCAGGAAATAAGTGAGCGCAAGGTCTAGACTAGGCTCCACGTTCCTAACCAGCAATGACACTTCTCTACGTCACTGCGGCCACAAACAGTTCTCGAACTCTAGGCACTTCCCAGGCCTGCAGGGGCTAAGCCTGGAGTTGGGAACCGTGAAAAGCCAACACAGGCCCCACCCACCACACACCCATCCCATGTGGGCTGGGTCCCGCGCAGGACAAGCTCTGGAAGGGAGGTCCCACGAGACGGAGTTACTGCTGATGCTGTGCAGCACCGCTCAGTGTGGGACCCACAGCTCACTCCCAAGCCCTCCAAGAGATGCAGCAGCTGCCGCCTTTCCTTCTGAGTGCTGAGCAGCCTCAGCGGCCACGTCCTATGCTCCCCTAGGAGCAACAGGAGACCCCTGCGGCGGCCCAGCTGGGCCCAGGAGAAGCCCATCATCTCAGAAAATATCTTGGTAACAACGTGGCCAGCGGCCTGCTCATGCCTGACTCCCAGGCACCCTGCAGGAGATGTGTGACATGTATATTTCGGCTCAGCAGAGCAGACCCAGGAAACTGTGCAGGAAGCCCAAGCCATTTACCCTGCGGGCTTCGGCCTCGAGGACAAGCCAGTGCTGACTGGGCTCCTCGGGTTACAGCCCAGGCCCAGGGCACTCCTGCTTCCCAAGCTGCTGTTGTGGGACTCCACGGCACTCCCCTCACATCTGCCCCTGCACTGTCTGCGTTGTGGGCGCAATAGGATCTGGGTTCACAATAGGGTCCTCCCTTAACTGCTGAAGATTCGGCCTCCCACCTTCCTCTCCAAGGCTTCCGGGAAGTGGCTTTCAAGTTCAACCTGCCCCACCAATCTGCCTGTCCCTGGGTGCCACCCTCCCTAGGGTGGGTCTCCTGCCCTCGTGCACTGCCAGGCTTTGCTGCTTTACTTCCATTTCAATCTCCACTCAACTTAGCAGCATGTTCCTACCAGTGGACTCGCTGCTTAACACAGCCCCAGATCTCAGCCGTGCCTGCTGCCTCGTCCTGCTCCAGGCCTTCGCTCACAACCAGAGACGGGAGACTGAGACGTCCTCTTCCCGGCAGTGGCTCTGACCTCAGCATCTTGAGCATGTGAGTGAGCTTGGGCACACAGCAAGTTGCCATCAGGCCTACCCAAGATGGACGTGTGTGACGCTGAGGCTGGGTAGTGCAGGCGCCAGCTCCTATGGATACCTGACGAACGGCAAGCGCCACAGCCAGCGTGTGAGCAGGATGGGCACTTCAGGGACAACTGGAGGACCCATGCCAGGACGGACGGAGTCAGTACTCGGCCCAATTCTGGGCACAGCACTGGCATGTGTAAGTCTAAAGGCTACTGCAAGCACCTCCCCACCTGCTCAGACGCCTCTGGGTACAATGAATGCCCTGTGGCACAGCCACCTTCTGGGTAAGAAAGTAGAAGAAATGGGAATACAGGTGTGGATGTGCTTATTTTTCTGAGAAAAGGTAG